AAATCACTTAGCTATAATGGTACAGAATACCAGATCGCAAGCCCTTAACCACATAACGAGGTCTGCAAGTGGACGGGATCCAGTATGTGCTAAACGATGGGCTCAGCAGCACAATCGCCGTCTACGATCCCCATGGCAGTGTCACGTCATACACAGCATTTGTTGGAACCGGCAAACTCCTGTGGTTGCACATCTGCAGTCATACCATTGGTGGGAAATAATGCATGGGGGAAACGCACCACGACCGACATCACCATGCAGAAAGAAAACTACTCCGTCGTCAACAAAGAACAAAACTCTGACGACTGTGGTGTTTGCAAAGAATCGGTGTTGGAGGCTCAGAAAGCCTTTGCGTGTAACATCTGTCTTAGGTGGGTGCATTGTAACTGTGATAATGGGTTACCGGAGCAGTACTATAGCTTTATGGGGAAGTACACATGTAAATGGATGCGGCATATATGCCCAGGATGCCAGAAATCACCGGCCATCACCACCGGCAAACTGGAAAACCTGGTTCAGCCAAAAATGCTACAAAGAACGAGCTACAGCAATCTTCCCCCAGAAGGCGGTCTAGCTCCACATGTGTGCAAAAATGCCACTGCTAAAGGCAGGGAAGAATTGGCTCCCACTCCAAGTGAGAAACCAAAAATTTCTCTCTTGTATCACCGCCACCCAGATGATCCCACGGGACTGAACAACCTGAGGAAACAGGTTGCTCTGAGAACGAATGGACGGAAGTGAATAGGGTGGGGGGTAGACCGGAAGCGCCGGCTACCAAGCTCGATATTCCACACTTACAGGACAAGGGAACGGATTCCATCATTCTGTTCGACGTCCCCACACCAATAGACTCACTCTTAGAAAAAAGAGAACGGTCTGACAAGGAGAAGTGGAAATAGAAATCATCGCAGCCAACTTATGCCGGCTCTCCCGGGGAAGTAGAGCATCTCGAGACAAGCCGCCGCCACTCAGGGTATCAGCAACGACGGCGAAACAGTCGGAGAACATACTGCTGCTGTTGCGCCGACCGGACATTGCAGGCTCCTGCCCCATACGGGTGAAGCTAGACAAGTCCTGAATCACCCGAGGGGCAGAGCGGAAGTCCCCACTTAGTGACCTGCACAAAGCTACGACCATGGTGGTGCCTGGAATACCCGAACTGGCAGGTGGTTCCACGAAGCTTGATAATTACTTTCATGATGTCGTGCAGTGGAGGTGATTAGCAGCAAAAACGGGACTTTGAAATTTACCTGCCAGAGGTGTAAGTAGGTTGCCAAGACCTATGCACTTGCAGAGTATCTCCTCACCAAGGTTGCTAGCCGTACGCTTTGACTGCAAAGCATCACTAACAGAAGCTCTCACGGCATGGTACCGTGTGAAAGACCATATAGGAGGTGCTATACGATGCTGTGAGAGCAAACCACGAGCTATCAGACCAGAAGATAGGAGGCAACCTCCGAGAACACTACAAGCAGTACTAGTCAGAAAAGAATTATCCAGTCAGCTACCTGTGGGCACAATAAACAACACTACCACAGCAGCAGCAGGATATCAAGAGGGGCCAAAAAACGGAGACCTGCCAGCCCCCACTGGACTGGCAGGCAGAATCCGGTGCAACGGCAAACTAGCCTCCAAACGAGTCCCCATATCGCACTAAGCCCAGGACGTAGCTCTTTAACATGCTTCTACAGCAATGTGAGAGGTCTTAGGAGTAAACTACTGGAGATAAAAGCAATGTTCCATAACCTGCGAGCAGACACAATTCTCCTCGTGCAGACATGGTTGTCAGAAGAAATAGTGAACAAGGAGATATGTTTGCCTAACGTGACCCTGTTCCGAAAGTACAGGCGGCTCAAAGAAGGCGGATGAGTTGCCATATATACTAGCACTTATCTAAAAGTCAAGGAAGTGACTGATGGTGTGTTTAGCTAACTGCTGGGCTCCTTATGGTGCTATTTCACCATAAACCAAACCAAGTGCCCTGTAGGAATAGTATAAAGGCCCCCCTTTGTACGACAGAGCATAAGACACAACTGCTCAGTGCCGTCACAACAACCACATCGGCAGCCTATGACCACGTAGTCCTAGCTGGAGACTTCAACACACCGACGCTCAACCCAGGGTGTGAAATAAGATGTCGGCATAAATCTTTCGAGCACAAACTTTGGAATACGCTCATGGCAGCAGGACTAATAGAGAAGGTTGGGGAAAAAACCAGATGGGGACCAGACGGGAAAGGATCAACACTGGACTACGTTCTAACACACGATGATCTTTTGGTGGACGATATCTGTGTCCGACCCCCCTTAGGTAAGAGCAATCACGCATCGGTGAGATTCTCTCTGATAACCGAAGAGACACTACCAATAGATGAGCCAGAAGCATTCCGCTGTTACCGAAAGGCAGGCTACCACCTCATGAATAGCGAATTCCTGGAGGCTGCATGGCCGCAAGAACGGGACTCATTATCGATAGACGAACACTGGATACGGATTAAGGATATTTTCTGGAGCGCTATCGAAAAGAGCGTTCCAAAATTAACCAGACGGCCACCTCTCAAACGGTCCTGAGTAACTCGCGCAACTCAAAGACAGATAGAGAGGAAATGAAGGCGTGGTACCGGTGGCGTACATCACGCAAAGAACCACACCTTCAGGGCTATAAGACCTTACGAAACCCATGCAATATGCGAATTCGCAATGACAGGTATACGTACCAAAGCAACCTGGCTGAACACTTAAGCTGCAGTCCGAAAAGTCTGTATCGGTTTATGTCAAAACGCAAACAGACGAATAAGGGCTTAAACCTGATCACAGGGCCGGCCGAAGAACCCCTGAACAGCAGTGAGATAGCAGAATCGTTGAGCAATCGATTTGATGGGCAGCTCAACCTGGTTATACATCCGCTACCAACATCTACCAATGTAACGAAGTCTCAGGACTGAGAGACAAAGCTGATGAAAGTGAGGATTTCGTCAAACCAAGTGTTTGCGAAACTTTCAACACTAGGAATAGGGAAATCCCCAGGCTATGATGACATAAAACCGGTCGCCCCACGCAGCTGTGCTGAAGTGCTAAGCATACCCATATGCAACCTGTTCACGCACTCGCTGGAAGTAAGTCAACTCCCCAAAGAATGGAAACGCGCAATCCTCTCATCAATCTTCAAGGGAGGAAACCGAAAAAACCAGTGCAACTACAGACCAACTGCATTACTCCCCATACTTTCCAAGGTACTGGAAAGACTGGTTGCAGATGTTGTTTGGGACTACCTGAACATAAACAGCATCGTCTATCCCACCCAGTATGGCTTCAGAACCGGGCGGTCATAAGCCACAAACTTGATGACCGGACTACTAGACGGGACAACAGACAACAAGTTCACGTCATCTTGGACTTGGTTAAAGCTTTTGATGGCGTCCCACACAGCACTATGCTGGCCAAACCAGTAAAAGTGAGTATCACTGAACCACTATTGGCATGGCTTACAGCACACCTAGAGGATAGAGAATTCTGCACCAAGGTAAACAGAATTCGATCAACCTGGGGGAAAGCAAGAACAGGATTTTCTCAAGGAGCGATCCTTGGACCACTCCTATTTTCGCTATTTATAAGCTACCTCCCCGCTAAAATCTCCTCATCTATCCTCCTATTCGCCGAGGACATCAGAATGTGGAGGACGATAGGCGATTCTAGAATGCTCCAAAACCACCTGCTGCAGCTGGAGCCCTGGTCAGACGCAAACGGTTTGAGCTTTAATTCGGAGAAGTGCAGGGTGATGTATCTTCGCACACCAGAGGCGATGAAAATCAACTACACTCTTAACAAGCGTGCAATCACCAAGGTATCCACAGAGAAGGACCTAGGATTAAACTTTTCTGATACACTGGATACTACTGGTATTTATAAGGGGATTGCCGCAAAGGAGAACGTCACCATGCACTTTCTAAGAAGACAGCTTGGACTGTTAACCCCAGGGTTATTCCTCATGGCATTCAAAGCCCACGTTAGACCGCACCTGGTGTTCAACACGGTAGCCCCTCCTCTACTAAAGAGAGACGCGAATTCTCTCTAGAAGGTGCAAAGAAGAGCAACAAAGTAGGTTGTCGGATAAACAGTCAAAACATATGCACAACGCCTCATACAACTCAACCTGTTCACACCAAGCTATCGAAGAAAACGAGGTGATGTGACAGCCTGCATTATCATCCATCAAGTGGACCACCAAAATAGGATAACATTATCGGCCCCAAACCGACAATCCTGTGGAAACCCCGCTTGCATACCCCACCATAAGGCAAAGACTAGAGTGAAATCTGACTTCTTCTCCCATAAAGTATGTATCTTATGGAACGCGCTGCCAAAAGAAGTGGCCACAGCTACATCAGTCAACTCCTTCGAACGACTACTGGATGAGTATGTGAGCACAAATGGCTTGCCACAGACATATGTTAGTAGCAACCGATGATACGCCCTTCCATCCCTGTATTCCCCAGCCCCAGCACCTGCAGTGAGATGCACCCCTCCTCTATATTATTACCAGTCACATGTATCTTTTCAAAAGTACTTTTCACTTCTCCCTTTCTCACTCCCCACTCACCCCGTTTCTATCACTATTTAAATAACGCCTAACACTTACTTTCAGGTGCCTAAAACAACAGGAATTGCAAAAGGTTGATTGATCTTATCAGCAGCTCCGTTGCCCCCCTAAACAAACCAAGCTACAATTTGCAGATAAACCACCTTCAAATTGACAAACAGTACCTCCAAAGCTATTAGCAAGAAAACGCAAAGACCTCTGCGACCATCGAAGGAGTAAAACCGAACGAAAAGAACCAAGCCTCAAGACCTAGAAGCGAGAGCTCAAAAACTGTAAGTTTCCTCTACTTGCACTATTGTGTTGGATGTTGGATGTCGGTTGGAGATTGGGTACCAGGCTACTTCAAAATCTAGGTCAACTAGGTTTCGTCAAGGTCGTGTGTTAACACATGATCAGTAAAGATGAACCGTTACCTGTCCATCTTTCTTGCCGGGTTTTGTTTACTGACCGCTATATATCTGCAAACAGGATATTGCTCATCTAAGAATAAAGGTTATGAGTATCTTCGGTCACTGAACAAAGTAATTCCTACTATTTGAAGTTTTATATCTTTATTTTCTCTCTAGATTCCAAACGATTCATATATCTTGGTACACACTCTTAGTGGTGAGGTTTTGTGTGTCCATAGACGCTCAGGTTTTGTAAAGTGGAGGTTGCATTCTGGTAAGGCTCTTAGAAAAGTACTTAGCTAACAATTTTTCAGCTTCTGCTTTGCGTGCAAGTTACAATAATGGGTAACTTAAGTATTTTTCTAAAAATTTCCATAGGCCAGTACTTGTTGTAGACCCAGTCAGTGGCTCTCTATATGAATATGCTAGTGCTGTATCTGATTTTCTGTTTCAGCAGCTTGAGCATTCAATTATGGGACATGTTCGACGTTCTCCAGCATATTACAGGAACTTCCTGTCCCTAGGTGAGTGTTTTTTCACTGTGCTGAACAGGTATAATAAAGGTTTATGGGTTACCAACTCTTTCTTTGACAACGTTATATGATGATAGCTGCATATTTCAAACGTTTCTTGTCAGTTTCATCCCTCAGGTGCATTCTCAGAAGTTAATCAACAATGAAATTGACGAGGCTGTCGTAGACGGCCAAGGTCCCACATACAGACTATAGTCTGTCAGATCTAGATCTATAGTTTTACGGATACTGACCAATGATAAACGATGAGATGAAAACCTGAGATTGAAGTTGTCATTACTTCTATTTTGTAGTTGTTCGCAATTTTCCTTAGCCAGATTTCCGTTCTCAAAAGTTTCCATCTGTCTTACCTGAGAGATACACTTATCTAACTTATTATACACTTGCTTTGCTGTGTTTTATTACGAAAGTACGTACGTTGACTTGATTCATTCTGTATTTGTTGTCATTAATGCTTGAGATAATTCGATCGTATTGAAGCACTGACCTCTGCAAAACATAATTTAAGGGAATAGGTGCTGAAAATGACATCTGCCTAATTTAATTAATAACGTTTCTAGTGCTTTTACTGAAGACAAATTGACAAACTTACGTTTTATAACTTTTACTTCCAAGTCAGCTCTTAAGCATGTGAAGACTGTCATTATTTCCAACTGAAAACGAGAATCAACCTTATGACCACATATAACAACAGTATTCTGCTCAATCCTTTTTGGTAATTTTGATATCATATAAACGTTTTCAGTATTGTATGGTGTTTATTACCTTGCCTTCATATTTCCAGTCTCTTCTATACTGTTTTCTAGAATGACTAACTGACTGAAAAAAAATCATCGTAGAACCTCGCACACAGGTACGTCTGCTCAAGTTGCTACATTTCACACTAGTACGCAAAAAACAGGTGGATAGAAAAAGTGATATCAAAGAAGATAAAGTAGTGTTAGAGAATAAGCAGTCTGAAAATGGAGGTTAGTTTGAATATTCAACCTTTCAAAGATGACAAGGAGTTAATACATCTGCCTCACTGTGACCGACTTTCAGCCATACTAAAAAGAGTCAGTCCTCTGTCACTGGTTTTTTCGTCTCGGGGACCTCAACCAGACAGTCTACATTGCCCTACACTACTCAGACCAACAGTAAGGGACTTCACCAGCCAGTACCACGTTTTGGTATGACCACCTTGAACCTTCTTGCAACCTAATTCAGCTTCCCCTAGCATTGTACGTCGAAGTGAGCGGTTACTCGGCATACGCAGTGTGTCCAAGCTATCTCAGCCGACTAAGGTTACCAACCCCATCAATCGGCTTGCCTGTCTTGCCTAGTACTCTTCGCCTGACCTCGACATTGTTCACACGATGATCCCCTTAGACGCAACCAATGCTACGAAAACTTATTATCAAAACCCTGTAATCGCTTCATGTTTTCTACTTGAGTTAGATACTCCAAACTATCGTGTAAATACTTGGAGTTGATATCAAAAATATAAAGTCTTTTGCGTATCATATCTGAAACAATCCGTTCTGGTTCCTGTGAGTCTCTTATTATGATTTATTTCAACAATGGATGTTCAGCGGTTTTTCCCTGTCTTAGGGTGGAACCTGCTTCACTTACTTAAACATTAGAAAGCAAATAACTATTCTCAAGTGATATACCTAGCTCGCAGATTATACACCGAGTTACACTTCAGTCAATTTGAATTTATTCACCTTTCAGGCGTGTCTAGGTACTTTGGTCAAGAATTTCCTTAACTTAAAAAATCCGTGTCTTTAAGTGGCATTACAGTTTCAGAACTCCGGCTTGATATTGGGGCCTACTTTATCGTTTTAAAAGATACCAAAGATGTAAAAAGTTCAGTTATGTGAATTTGTGGCTCAAAATTATATGCTGTTTCAATTGATTTAATTTTTTCCTTTTGCATATTCTTCTTTCCTGTGGGCGTTAACGTGGTTGCCGACTTTGTAGTTACTGCCTGTCTCCCCGGTGACTTGATAGAATTTGGTCCGTATTAGGTGCTAATTGGCTTGTCAGCTCCCTTTAAAGATAATCTTTCATTCATAATCTTTACTGTCTTTAAATTCTTGTCCAGCTTTCGCTGTAGGACTCGTACTCACCGTTGATATTAAAAGTGATATATCAGTTAAGTGGCATTCGTGCTGATGGAAGGAAAATAGTGTCAATTTTGTCTGTTTTTAAACTAGTTTCTGCGTTGTTTTAGCTTTCGTTTTATTCAAACATATTTTATAGGCCTTTAAGTGGCAGCAATTTCAGAAGTTTCTAACACCCGAGTGGCCCTCAAAAAGTTTTATATAAGCCTTGATAGCTTACTTGTTGCTATTCTGGGGCAATTTAGTCCAGAGACTTGTTATGAATGTGAAAGATAAGTTATGTCCGAAACCCTGTGTGACATCCAACGAACAAACTAAAATAGAGTTGGTACAGAGACGATAAATCAGAACAGCGTTTCTACAACAAAAGGGGTTTCGTTTGATTTCATTAGCTTTTCATGAACTGCATGCAACCGACCTAATTTACAAACAATTGTGCCTCTCTCTCTCTCGCTATATAAATATATATATATATATATATATATATATATATTATTATTATTATTATTATTATTCATTTATTATTAGTCCCTTGGGTTCCTAGTGGAACATAGGGCTTCAGTAGCACGCCTCCAGTGACCTCTGTTCTCTGAGATCTTTTGAACCTGGTCCCACGACAGCCCAGAAGCTCTCATTTCCTCCTCGCACGACCTCCTCCATGTCACCCTCGGACGTCCAACTCGTCGCTTCCCATGGGGATTCCACTCGAGGGCCTGACGCGTGATGTCCTCCGTCGGCCTTCTCAGTGCATGGCCAATCCATCTCCACTTCCTCCTGCATATTTGTTGTGTGATAGGTTCTTGGTTGGTTCGTTCCCAGAGTTCCTTGTTGCTTATTATTTCTGGCCATCTGATCTTCAGTAGCGAGACAGCGTAAGCAGTTGTTGATGAATGTCTGTAGTTTATTGGAAATCCCTTTCGTGACGCGCCAAGTCTCTGAGCCATACAAGAGCACTGACTTGACGTTGGTGTTGAAAATCCGTATCTTGTTCCGAATGCTGAGTGCAGAAGATCTCCACACTGGTTTCAGGCTAATGAACGCCTGTCTTGCTTTTCCGATTCTGACTTTGACGTCCTCGTCCGTCCCGCCTGTAGTTGAAACAGTGCTTCCTAGATAAGTGAAGGAGGTTACTTCCTTCAAGTTTCTCCCGTTGACGGTGATTGGAGTTTGTTGTTGTTGTTGATGGTGGTGGTGCGGTATCTTCATCACTTCTGTCTTCTCTATATTCACCTGAAGTCCCGTCTTAGCTGCCTCTTCTGTCAACTTGTTAGTTTTTGCCTGCAGATCTTCAAGTTTATGTGACATTAGGCACAAGTCATCGGCGAAATCCAAGTCTTCTAGGTTCTTTTCCGTCGTCCAGTGTATCCCCCTCTTCTCGCTGCCTACTGTTTGCTGCATGATCCAGTCCACCACAATAAGGAATATCATGGGGGATAGTAGGCAACCTTGTTTCACTCCTGTCTTCACTTCAAAGGCATCACTGAGCTTCCCATTGTGGATTACTTGGCATGTGGCATCTTCATATAGTTGTTGAATGAGGCGGATAAAGGTTTGCGGTACTCCGTAGTATTGAAGCAGTTTCCAAATTACTTCTCGGTCGACGCTGTCAAAGGCCTTCTCAAAGTCGATGAAGTTGAGGTAGAGAGCTGATTGCCATTCTATGCTCTGTTCTATGATGATGCGAAGCGTTGCAATTTGGTCGGCACATGATTTGTACTTCCTGAAGCCTGCCTGTTCCGGTCGCAGTTTTGAATCCAGTGCGTCTTTAAGCCTCTCCAGGATGATGCGGCTTAATATTTTACTTGGGGTGGACAGGAGAGTGATTCCGCGCCAGTTCTTGCAAACACTGAGGTCTCCCTTCTTCGGCAGTTTGACAAGGTAACCCTTCTTCCAATCGTCAGGTACCTTCTCTTCCTTCCACACCTTCTGCAATAGTGGTGTGAGCATGTCCGCTGTTGTCTCTGCATCTGTTCTCAGTGCTTCTGGCGGTATTCCATCTGGTCCTGCTGCTTTCCCGCATTTCAGTAGCTTTATGGCGTTCAGGACTTCCATTTTCGTTGGGGGATTAATGTTCACTTGTAGTTCAGCGGCTGCAGGTGGTATTTCTGGACGAAGTGCAGGTGGTGGTGGTCGATTCAAGAGCTTCTTGAAGTGGTCGGCCCATCGTTTCCTCTGTTTCTCTTCTTTTGTAATTAAATTTCCTTCTTCATCTTTTATTGGTTTCATCTGTGTTGGTCTCTTCCCTGATAGCAACCTGGTTATTTGATACAATGTCGTCAGGTCTCTCTTACCTGCAGCCTGTTCTGCTTCACTTGCCAGTGTTTCGTAGAAGTGTCTTTTGTCTTTGCGTGCACTCTTCTTCACTTCTTTATCCAGTGTAGTGTTTTATACATTGTGCTCAGTTCCTCTTGTCGTTGAGCATCCTTGCACTGGTTTATCTTCTGCTTCACCATCCTCCTCTCCTCTATCAGCTTCCAGGTATCCGTCGAGATCCATTCCTTGTCTTCTTTCTTCTTCCTTCCTAATACTGTTGTGCAGGTTTCTTTCCACATAGCTTTCAAAGACTTCCAGTGTTCTTCCACACAGGTTTCTTCAGGGATGTTGCTCGATGTCTCCCATTTTGTCTTGATGGCTGCCTTGAAGATCTCCTTTGTAGTTTCATCCTTCAGTTTCCGAGTGTTGTACTTGAATTGAGGTCTATCACCAGCTTCCTTGAAGGCTTTTAACTTGATTTGGAAGGTTCCTTGCACTAGATAGTGGTCTGAACCTACATCTGCTCCTCTTCTTGACCTTGTGTTAAGTAGACTGCGTCTCCATTTTCTTGAGATTGAGATAAAGTCGATTTGATTTTTAGTGTGTCCATCTGGTGAAATCCATGTCGCTTTGTGGATATCTTTGTGCCTGAACACACTGCCTCCAATCACCAAATCGTTGAATGCACAGAATTCTGCAAACAATTCTCCATTCTCATTCATTTCACCTAGCGCCTCTCGACCCATGGTTAGTTCTCTTCCTGTGTTGTCCCCTCCCAGTTTGGCATTCATGTCACGCCCATTAGAATTTTGATATCGCCAACTGACGTCTTGTCCAGTGTTGATTGAAGTTGTCTGTAGAAATCCTCCTTTTTCTCTTGATCTGCATTATTTGTAGGTGCATAACATTGTATGATTGTGACCTTTCTTCCTTTTGAGTTGAATCTTGCTGTCATGATCCTGATCGTTGAGGAGATTGGTTCCCACTGCATGAGAGCCTTCGATGCTCTTGAGGACATCATGATAGCCACTCCCTCAGTGTGCTCGTGGTTGTCGTCTGGGTGACCGGAGTAGATTATTGATTCTCCAGTTGACAGTTTGGAGAGTCCACTCCCATTCCATCTGCTTTCGCAAATCCCAAGCACTTCGATGTGATACCTTCTCATCTCCTTTGCAATCTGGGCTGCCTTACTGGGTTCAAACATCGTGCGGACATTCCATGTCCCCACGTTTACTTTCGCTTTCATCGAGGGAGAGAAGACACATCGGCCAATTGGCTTCCCGAAGGCTTTCACCAACTGGCGTCATTTCGCCTCTCCGATTCCAGCGGGGAATAAGTTTGTTTTCATTTTTTATATTTTGTTTGTGCTTTGAAGTTTCTTTAGCGGTTAGATTTGTTTTACGGGGTAGGGTTGCTAGCCCTATGCCCAACCTTCCCTCTTTACCCGGGCTTAGGACCGGCTAGTAACTAGTAAACTAGTTAACCAGGCGAGATTATATATATATATATATATATATATATATATATATATATATATATATATATATATATATATATATACGCAAGTTAAAGGTTCAGTTTATTCCACTAGAGCTACTGTTTGGGGTTGGAACTACCAACAGATGTTGACACTTGGCCTCCTGTAGGTAAAGTATACTTTATTTCATGTAGAATCTAAGCTAGTCAATATCAACATAGGACTTGACATTTTGTTACACGTTGCCACATCCCATATTAGAATATCCAACTATAACGCAGCAGTATGAAAGGCAAAGGAATAAAAAGCAAACCAGTCAAAAGTGGTAGAAAGTCGTGAAAGCAGAAAAAAGGAATGAGTCTATAGTGAAATTCATCATGATGGTCAGGATGAGGATAATGTACGAATACATCTAAGCCATTAGTATCGATTCCGAGCTGTCACCTAGAGTTTCCAACCACCGGCTTTCGTTGAGGCACTTAACCCAGTCGGGGAGTCTACATTTACCCACACGGCTCAGACCAACAGTCAAAGGCTTCATGCAATGATGCCATGTTTTTGGTCTGACCACCCCGAGTCCTTTTCCAGCCTGAACATACTTCAACCAACGATGCCCGATGAAGCATAGGCAGTGGCTGTGCATGCGTAACACACGTCACAGTCACCTGAAGCGATAACGGTCCACACCCTCATCAACAGAATTTCCTCTCCTCCCTAGAACCCTGCAACTGACTTCTGCGTTACTGAAGTGGGGACACCACAACACACGATCTATGCTACGAAGGTAACGGTGGTCGAACACTAAAAGCCGTCTGCGGCACAGTACACTCGACCCTTAATATGCGGTCGGATGTCGTGGCGACGCCATAGATGACGTAAGTTGATGGAAGCTTGTCGAGTCTTTTGTATTCGTGCAGAGATTTTGTCGGCCACTGACAAACGCACCAGAGCTGATACGATTTCTCAGATAAGTGAGGTAGTCACCGTGCTTAACTATTTCGCTCTCTATTATTAGACAGGGACGTGGACCCCAAAGAGAAAGTTTAAATTGCCTTACATGCTCCAGGTCATCAGCCAGATACTTGATGGACCGATACCATTTTTCGGTCAGGCAACCTGTAACCTTTTTTAAACCCAGCACTTGATGAGAACTGAAAACAGAAACTATATCTCAGGATAATAAATAAATGGGAATTCCCAAGTTTACTATACTTTTCTGAATCCGTTTCAACCAGACATTTCAGACCTGACTTTTGTATTCAAAAAAGACTGATTATTGTTTCCCTACCTTGGAAACTGGATTTTGTTTATGTTTCATCGTGTCTTTTGTTATGTTTAGTAGGCTTTCATGACATTTATCTTGATGTGTCCTGATTATTAGTGATCTCGCGTTGCTGTCCGATTGTCTTGTCACTCCCTTCACTTGAATTTTTGTTTGCTTGACATTTTTATAATCTATAATTGCCTTTGTAATCATATGTACATTATCATTTTTCTTGAATATGATATGTATGCAGCTGACACCACCTTATTTTACACATTTGTTCTTTCTTGCCTGATTCAAATTTGTCAAGGAAATGAAATGTATGCAGATTAATTATTTAGTTAGAGTTAAATAGTAGTGTTTATCATTCTACGCCAAGTCTTTGGGAATTTTCATCACATTTGTGTTTGACAAATGATGAGAACTGTTAAGAATATGCAAAATGGACTACATTTATACATTTAGTTGTTGTTGTTTTTTCACTAGAAGTTTAAGGAGTATGATTTTTGTTGTTATTCACTAACCTTTTCGGAGTTATATTTGTTTTCTAAACCGTAACTTAGATATCTGGAATACATACTTAACGTTGATTTAATGCTAATGTACTTACTGTTAAGGTTCTAAATCCGACTTTTGGATTTCTGTGGATATGAATACGGGAAAGATTATTGAATCTGTCTTTCAAGACTATGTGGATAAATGTCCAACCTCACTAAACAGTGGGAATATGAATACTCTCCAAAATTCTACTAAACAACAGGTTGATATTATTAACCTTGGAAGAACACAATATAACCTCGTACTTCGTGATCGATTTACTGGATCTGTTAAGTAAGTGTAATTTTCCTGTGGAAGTTATCATTTTATTATATGACATGGATATATATAGGTTTAACTCCTAAAAAGTGAGAAAACCGGTTCGTGTATGTATTTCCGAATTGGCTGAAATCCACAAGTACAATACTAAAGTGAGAGAAACTAAGATGCTTATCCACCGCAGAGGGTATAATTGAAAGTTCGTAGCAGTAAATTTAGTTGTGGAGGTTAACTAGCTTGTGTAATATCGCACACAATCAGCACAAAGTAACACCACAATGTTCCAAATGAAGTCGATACTTCACCACGTTTATTAAAACTAAGGTCAACACTTATTGCCAAATATTATTTAAATATGGGTTATTGATTTTGAAGATTTATTCACCACTATCCCGATATGAATGAAACTGAAGTTTTTTGTGCATGCAGGTGGATAGCATTAGAACTAACAGTAATTTAGTCTCTAACATTCTAATCTGTCTTTGTATTTTATACCTAACATTTAGAGACCTTGTATTTTTACCTTGACATTAGTCAAATGCCTTTTCTGGGGATATTAAAGCTACATTGTATTCCCTTTTATATTGTTCACTTGACTTCACATTGTGATTAACACAACTCTAAGACTTATTCCCAAGTTTTTCAACTAGTTTTGATATCGATAAACCTTTATGTAAGTTGAATTATAAACAGGTATAGTGAAATATCATGAAAGTATATCATCTGACTATGTTAATGTGATGAATGTTATGTTTCTAACTGTTTCTAACTTGATTCAAAAAAGCCTGTTTAAGTGTCTTCATTGCATAATAGCTTACGTATGTATTTGTTGAGGATGATTTTCTCTCCAAGGAATTAAATCATTTCATACATCATTAAAAACGAGGGGATGTAAGACACTTGTTTGGCGCTAGTTTGCAACTCTTTATCAATCATACCTTCAAGTACCATAGTAAACAGTGTTTTCATTCATCCATTAAAACAGGATCCGGTTATTTTTATCTTTATACTCTGGTCATTTCGTGACATCACATGGTCATCATCCTCACTACTGACTGAATTGTGATCTCCAGGTAACATTGAAACTTAGGGAAGCCCATCTCTTCATTGATAAACACTTGGTCTCTATTGGTGTGTGTTTCCTTGGACAATTTATCGATTCAAAGATAGTTTTAATCATGAATTGACAAGGCTATGGGAAATAATAGTCCTGTGTGAACATTGCCAGGGAATCTCAAAGAGAAGCAACACAACTTTCTATTGCTTTTTGGTTTTAAGTGACTTACCATCTGATATCAGTCATTAATGAAGCCTTTCTTAAAATCACTCAATGAAGTAACTTCGTCATGCATATTATCGACTTGCTTCGAAATGAATTACTCGAGGCTTTAACAAGATGTTGTAACCTATTGCGGTGGGGAAGAATGTTTACCGATGGCACTAGATGATGATTGTGCCCTATAGTGTGTAGTGGTTTCCTAGCTGATACTAATCTGTAGGGTATGGTCTATCCTCAAATTACTCAGTTATTAACCAAATCAACATGAGAGGAAATCGGTATTTTTCCGACTGATATTTAAGGGTCACCAAGTTGCGAAGATGATTAATCGAAATGCATTCTGAACAATATCTCCTTTTATAAAGTTGGTGCTGTTATATAGGATACAGTGTTTCGTGAGGCAGACAAAGCGAATCAATATCCGCCTGATGTAACCTCTAATTTTGGCTACCGAATTACTTGAACTTGCCAAGGCGGGTTCATTGGGAACACAGCAAGGTTGCTTTACATCCACTGCGGTAAATCTATGCATCTGGGGATCATTAAAACATCAACAGTCTGGTTGTACATCATTTTAGATTCTGAGACTATGACGTTACCCCACCCAACAGGGTGATAATTAGACAGTGCAGGTATATCGACAACTGAGCTTTGCTCTAGATTACTTATCTTGATAGAGTCTGTTATTGAGTTTCTTTAAATTTATGTGCTTTATTATCCTTGTTGCTGCTGATCGGCCTATTCGATCTCTGTACTTGACATCACAATCATTATATGACATTCGATTAATTAGATCATTTTGTTCAATTGGGACCTTTTGGCCTACAAAGTTCTTCTGTAAGTGAATTAGTGGGTTTATGTGTCACCTTGATTGAAGGATTTTTAAGAACCCTGTGTAGAATTTCCGATGTCTCTTCTACATACAATAACAATGAGGACGCTATAAGCTTTTTCAGTCCTGTTGCAACAACTACTGATATTACATTTTCTGTTTCTCTCATGAGACCTTATAAATTTTTAATAAACTTCGGTGGGGGGTGGGTGGGTGGTAGTTACTAAGTAGTAATATCTCTTTCATATGTTCAAGTTCCTTATGTAGATTTCCCGATTCGTTATTCAGATTCATGGTTCCAATACTCAGACATTTCACTTTTTCGAGTGTGATGGTTTTCGCTAAACACTGGTGTCTAAACTACCATCTTTAATATGATAATATAATGGGCGATTCTCCTTCATCTTCCCATTCATTAGTGGAGTTGTAGCTGGTATTTGACTCGGGGGTTCAGCTGAAATTTAGTGATGGCTATTTTAATTGGATACACAATTTCTCACTAAATTGGTCTATCATGTTGGAAATGGCAAATTAATATGTTACAAGTGGAAAAATAACATAAATATCACTCATTTGCTTGTGAAAGCCTAAGAAACGAAGTAGCAATGCTGAACATGGCAGTCACTCGCTGGATTTTTCTAGTTTGTTGATGGAATAGACTAGTATTAAAGTATTTTATTATCTTTGTGCTTACCCTAACAATAAGCAATTACTACTCAGGGTGATCTGCATATTCCTTGAAGAGAAAACTCAGTCACTAGCCATCATTTCATCGTCGAATATGATGTATCTGAATAAGATTCAGAAATATTCGTATCTTACGCTAATATCTGAATAGTAACCTTTTCAGATTCTTTGTCATAATAGTGTTCTGTAAGAGCATGCATCTAGTTCGTTGGTTGGTCATCAGAATTCGAATATAATTGGTCGTCAATAAAATTAAGGTGAATTGATCCCGTCTCTAAATCTGATTCCATCTTCTTTGACCTGGGCAACTTAATGATATCATAAGCCTTTAGACAGTAATTATCAATAATAGCCTGGTGAATATATCTATATCATATTGATTAACATTGTTCTAACTCTTAAATAAACTAAATTACATTTACTACCGAGTTTTGTGTTGGGAAACTATACCCTAGTGTCAACACAGTAAATTTATCATTGACGCATCACTATTCATTGGAATTTGGTTAATATATCGTCAATGTCATTTGTTTCTAATTGTCCATAAATATTTCTACTTCGACCAGGGATATTGGTGATGTTGTCGTCACTCCTTCCTTTTGTTTGTACACTTTACCGTGAAATTTGAAATTCTGGAAACTAGTCATAAGTGTACTTCTAGCACGATTTATTCAGTCGGCACTCTACTTCTATCATCAATGATTTTATCGAAATCGGAATCGGAATGGACTCAGTAAGCATATACACATTCGTGCACTGGGCAATGAGTCACAGCTGCACCAATGAGTTTGTAATCAATGGGGTGCTTTTATCTGACTATTACAAATGTCATATTGATTAGTATATAATATATGGGTTCATGTCAAAATTGATATTTTTTTCTTCCTCTTCTTACTGTATGTTATCTAGTCTCTGTTTCAATGCAAAGTAATTGGTCAACCTACAGTTTAATTTCTTTTATTACGTAATGTTGTTGCTCAGTATTTACATAGTTCATTCATCGGTGTGGATATAAAGTTGACTAGCAGCCTAATAGGAATCTTAATGGTACCATGCCTTCTGTCGATTGACGATATAAGGAATTCAAGAAATCGGTATATACAGTTATGGTAGATTGAGTAGTTTACAGCCCATCTAATGCGTAAAATGCAACCATCTCTGAGTGATTTTAAGGGGTTCGATTTAGCGCCTAAAACTAATAATCCCAATGAGATGTATGCCATTATTGGGATTGAATTTCTCTTTTTGCCATGGTCACAACTCTTTGCTTATCATTCTCCTTACTTTTATTTCGCTACTATTAAGTAGTTCTCAGTTAATACTTTCATTGGGATTTTCGTCTTCTTTTCACTCGTCAATTAAACAATTAAACACTTCACTCTACATGTAGAGATAAGGTTCTCACTTCTTGTACTAGGCATTAAGTATCTGTCAATGGACAGGAAGACTTAGATCTCATCCTATCTAATTCCTTACTTTTCTGATTACTTTTATTATCTTAGGTGTTACGATTACACAGTCTTTCTAAATCTATTTCTCAATACTACATCGATGTAACTTCATTTCAATGGTGGATAATAGACTGTTATGTTAAAAAAATGTCATCGAAAAAGAATTTTCTTCCCATCAACTTGTGTATTTTAAAGCGGTACATAAACTGAGTTTAAAGCGTAATGTTCTTAAAGTAGCTTCGTTACATGAAACAGCTGAAAACCTATCATTATCTGATGAGACCAGATAACATGAATCTCAAAAGACGGATTCATCCCTTATCGTTAATTACTTAGTTGATATTTGTTTGTTTGTGAAGGCAGTTCATTAATTTGGGGGCTTGTGGGGACTTTATTGATTTCAGGTTGGTGTTCAACATGGACGTACATCAGTTGGAGAAACATCAAGAATCTGGGAGCACTGAACAGCTGTTTCACTCTAGAGTGAGACTCCCCAGTACTGCGCATCCATCACCCCATTCCACCAGGGATCGAACCCAGGACCTTTATATTCCGTGGCCAGGATGTTACCACCGAGCCACTGGGTCGAAATCCTACTTCTATCAGTTCTCGATATAGCGCGACATCCATCTAGTGCCGTCGTTGAGGAAATATCCTCATCTTTGACTTGGTTGGCCCTAGTGGTCACGACTTCTCATTGGAACTTCAGGAATTACTTCTCGAAGCTAGTCACCAATGGGAACTAGATCAATTCAATTAATTGCTGATTAAGAAGGATTTCATCTAATCACCATGACCCGATCTTATTGGAGAGCTCATTGGTTTAGGGAGATGATTTTCAACCAGCGGGTCGCTGGTTCAAGTCCCGCTCTACCTACCGAGGTTTAAGGAGCCAGGTAGTATCACCATCTTTCACACAATAGGTGTGACTCATTGACTACTGCACGAATGTACACAAGGTTACTGAGTGCGTTTTAATTTGATTCTTCACTTATTCTTCTGCGATTTCATGGGTTAGTTAGTCACTAGTATGTCTTTTCCATTCCAATAAGTGATGAGTCGTTCCAAACCCTGAAATAGTTGCAACTTGGCCCATATAGAGGGGAAGGTATCAAATTTTCAGTGAACATCCATCTCACTATCAGCCTGGCCGACTCCAAAGGTTGCAACTTCTTATTAGAACTTCAGAAAATCCATCTCGAAAGAAGTCACTAATAAGCACTGGAAAGTAATTCAGTTGCTGGTTTGTGAGAATTTACAGTTTTCATCATGGATTGACATCAATTAAAGAAGCTCTAAGGACTTAGGAGCCACTGGACAACTATTTCGTTCTGGTATGAAACTCAGCAGTGCGCACCCATGATCCCATGGGTGAGGTTTCACCGCAAGCATAGTATCATTCAGCTTCTTGGTTGGAATCCAATTGTCCATTATTTTTTCTACTTTTCTCAGTTCGCGACGTAGTTTGACCATCATTTCATGTCATATATGGGTATCCCCCTGACTATCAACTTGGTTAAAATTACTTTCCAGTGTTCATTAGTGACTCATTTCGATATGAATTTCCTGAAGTTCTAGCAACAAGTTTTGACTTGGTTGAAGTTCAGTATCTTGTATATTTTTGTTAGCATAACAGGGATAATTGGGTTTTTATTTTCTTGTGCAAAGTTATCAATGATAGATAAATTTTGAAAGGCAATTTTGACATTACAGTTCTCGTTTGTTTGCCATTTGAAATCGAAATAGGGTTTTTGCATATGTGTTGAGTAAAAAAGAGAAATCTGTTTATTGTTTAGTCGTAATGCACTTCAGTGATACTTTGTAGTGGAGTTAATTATGTACTGAGTATTAAAAAAGCATATGAAACTCATCGATTGCTGTTGTTGACTTTGTACATGTGAAATGATGTCCCAGCGGGATCAACACCGCCCACTAGGATGCAGGTACATCTAGGTGATGACTATCAAATGGGATGAAATGCGCATCTTGGATTCCACTGCTAGCCACCACCAAGCTTATTCGTCTTATTACCACCACAATAATTCGTGGCGTAGATATCATTGCCTACAGTTGTTCACGAAGTTTTATACAACTACCAAAATACTGTTTTTCATTACTTCTTTACTGACTGCAACCTATTAGGATGGAACAAACACCTGTTTCAAGGTGGGATTCATCGTGGACTGACATCAGCCAGAGAAGTATTGATAACTCAGAAGCACTGGGAAGCTGCTTGTCCTGTTATGGGACTTATCAGCAGTGTGCTCCCATGATTCCCCCATGGACCTGACGGGGCGTTCATCATGCTAAACTCAGGGGTGAACACAGACCACATCGCTATCAGTCATCGCTGGAGTGGGTGGGTGGGAGACTGCTACTCCTTCTGGAGTGCGTTTTTGGACGACGACCATGCGTTGGTCCGAGCTCGTGTGTGTCTGCATGTCGATGGACGTAGGAAAATGTTAGCAACAAGACCATTGCGAGTGAAACTCGACAATGGGAGCACTAAGACCACTTTCATTGAGAAGCTGGCTTGACAGTTATCGGAACAGAGCAATATCGCTCATGCGGAAGAAGCTTGGTGCCATCTTCAGAGTTAAATACCGTAGCTGACTATCAGAGAGCGTTTAAAAAGCGGCAATGGATCTCAACAGGCTCCAAGTACAATGAAGAGCGAATGCAACTCAACTGACGCAAACTGACCGGGAGAAATGTTGCCCAACGAAGGCTAAAAAGAGATGGAAAAGGCAGCGGCGATAGGTAACGGTAGACATCTATTTAGCTTATTAAGGAAAGTGAAGCAAAAAGGTCAGTGGTTAGCGATCCGATTGTGGAGAAAGATTGGTTTGCGATTCACTCGGAGGGAAGACGACTGGGACGATGGCCGGAACACTTCGAGAAACAGTCCAACTGGCCTCCAGCTACTATTTCGTTTCACGCTATCCAGTCGGATCCTGAATGGAACATGAAGGTAGGACCCCAAATATTTGCAGAAGTCAAGAAAGTGGTAGGTAACTTGAAACGGAAAAGGGTAGCAGAGCCAGACGGACCAGTTCCAAAGATATTTAAGAACGGTGGTCAAGAATTTTTAGCCAAGTTAACTGAAATGTTAAGTAGTGTGTATGAGTCAGATACGATCCCTTGTGGCTGGTCTTAGTCAGTGGTTAACTCAGTCTTCAAGAAAGGTGGCCAGTCCTCCCGTAATAACCTCAGATGAATCAGCCTGACGAATATGGTATCTGAGATTCTAGTTTTTATGACTATTAGACGTCTGAGTGGAGCCTGAGAACAGCAAACCTGAGGAGGCCAGTCAGACTTCAGATGTGGCTATGGGTGTGTTGACCATATATTCACACTCCACCAGGTTTTGGAACAAAGACATACTTATCGACGTCCGGCACTAGCTGTATTTTCGGACGTGAAGGTGGAGTTCGACTCAGTCGATCAAGAGAACTTACGGCAGTGTCTCCTACTGAAAGGGGTACCGAATAAATACATCACTCTGTTGAAGGCTATTTACTGGAACAGGTGTGGGCGTGTTAGAGCCTATACCTCGTCGCGCAGTATTGGGTTAAGCATATTCAGGCTTGAAAAAGGTTAGGGGTGGACAGACTGAAACATGGCGTCACTGCATGAAATCGTAAAATGTTGATTTGAGCCATGTAAGGTTATGCAGACTGGTCGGTTGACGTCCACGTGACAACAGAAACCAGTAGTTAGAGTCTCTAGGTGATTTGGCTCAAAATCGATATCGATGGCGCAGATGTACTCACACTTTATCTTCATCTTAGTCTCTGTGCTGGATTCAGCATTTTCTCATTCCTCTCTTTTACTACTTTTGACCGACTTTTTTCGTTCGTCATTTTTCATCTTACTACTTTGTTATTTGTTGTGCTAAGGTGTGGCAACTGAGACTGTTATGCAGTAGTGCCTGGTCTCATGTTGATATTGATTGATTTGAACTACGTAATGAAAACTTAACTATAAAGCCTTCTGTTGCCTATACATTTTAGTAACTTGAAAATCCGTTTTGCTTTATTTGGCTTTATCTTAGTAACAAAAATGTTGGGATTGAAACTTGGAACTTATTTCTAAGTCATTTTTGTCACGTAGGCACGTCAATTACAGAATTATTTAAAACCTAAGAGCATGGGCTAGCTGTTTTATTATGGTTCGAGATACCTTGGCAATTAGTGAGGGTCGGGTTCCGTCCGAGTGGCTGAATGGGTAACATGGTTCTGGAGTTGTTTCATTACGGGGTCGTGTGCACTACTATTCTGTTAAACGGCTGTAAGACACGGCCGTCAAAAGTAAAAGACATGAAGCGGTCACAAGTTTTCCATCATAGATACTTCCGTAGCATTGTTCGTGTATGGTGAAATCACCATATGAGTAATGTTGAAGTCAGGTGGAGAGTGCTAGGCAAGATAGGTAATTCGGTTGTTGTGGAACCTTCATCGACTAAGATGGCTTGGCCCATGTGTTGCGCATATTGAGCCACCACTTACGTAGAAGTGCCATACTAAGGGAAGTTGGATTAGGTTGTAAGAGTGTTCAGGGTAGTGACCAGACCAAGACGCTGCACCAGTCGATGAAGTCCCTTACTGTTGATCTGAGCCTATTAGGGAGATATAATCTGCCTATCTGAGGTACTCGAGATGATAGGAATCACTGGTTGGAAACTCTTGATGACATGGGTGGAAATCAGTCACAATGGTGTATATGTATTCACTCATTGACCTCTTCTAAAGTTTTAATATTCACACTAACTATCATCTTCAAATTGTTTATTCTCTCACACAACTTTGCCTACTTCGATACCACTCGTTTTCTACTCACCTATTTTTTGTGTGCTAGTGTGAAGTGTGACAAGCTGACCTGATGCACTTGTGAGCGAGGTTTTACGTTGTTTTTGCTCAGTGGTGTGTCTGTGTATTACTTCGTAGTGGCAAACTAGGACAAAATATTTGTCCAGCACTTTTAGTTTTTCATTTGTTCTGCAACTGATGTTATTTTCTGGTGAAAACAAACTTGAAGTCAGTCGACCCACAGAAACCACCGATAAGATTTATTTGTAAGTAGTTGTCGCATACTCACATTTGGTAATTGTAAATTCTCCAGGTACTGTTTTTTCTTTCAAGCAAGATTTAAAAAAAAGTGGTCATTTGGTAGTATTGTTGTCCTTTTTTCTTCCAATTCCAGGCTTAACATCACCTATAATACGTTCGCCACGCATACGGAAGCTGATCTACAAAATTATGGTAGTGACTTACTTTTCGTTGTTATTTGTTATCCATACATTGTGTTGTTGAATTTACAGTGGAACGTTTGGATAGCCTGATAAGTACTATTCTTGATTACTCCTCATTTTATTTAATCCGTTTTAATTTGATCAAATATCTTTATTTCAACAAGCATCTTTAGAGTGTTTAGTATTCAGTGTGGATCTGTGGTTCATTGGTTTATAGAGATAACTTTAAACCAATGTGTTACGAGTCCGAACACCGCTCCATGTATTGAGATTTGGGCATTCAGGTAGTATCATGAGCGCTCACACAATAGGTATGGGTCATTGCCTACTTCACGAATGTACACAAGGTCGCTAAATGCATTTCGATTAGTACTCAATCACTAACTGCATAAAAGCACTCTAGATGCATCTTTAGGTTGATAACGATGAAATCAGGTCCTCCTTAAGACGGTTAATTGTCGTGATTGACTGATAAGTATTGAATAAGCGACACTATTTGAAGATATTTTGGTGACACTGGTTCGAATCCTGGTATGATTAAGACTTTCTCCCCACTTCATTCACCAAGCTACTATATGTAACTCTAGACATCATGAGTTCTGCAAGTTACACGTGGTTTGCTAAGTGAAAGATAGTAAAAGGTTTATGAAAGTTAGAGCAGGACGGAGTTTTTGATTACTTTTACCAGTGATGTTTGATTCTGAATTTACTCAAATATGGATTCGAAGATACGCATTGTAGGATATATGAATACCTTGATATTTAGCTGTTCTTGATTCACATGAAGATATTTTGCTGGAAGCAAGGAATGTTTTTTAATTGATCAGCACATTACAAGTGGTTTACACTACTCTACCAGGTCATACTCAGGTCGGATATTGTCAGCTATTGGAATCTGACCTTGTGGTTTATACATCAATATTCTCGTTGTGTAGATGAAGGGTTTGGGAATAGTTAGTGAGAATGATTATATGTATGAATAATGCAGTTCACTGTAACTATTTTGTCCAGCGTCATATTCATGTTGTAAGCTGTGAGCTGCATTTATTTTTTGTGTCTATGACACTACCCGTTTCTTCATCTATAAAGTAGGTACAATCTAGTCTAGTTTAATCCCTGGGGCGTGGGCACTGGTGAGGAGTCCTATACTGGGTGGAAACAATTGTCTAACTCTCCCAAGTTTTCAGTGCTACTCCAACTAATACCAGTACATGGTGATTACCAGCCTGAAATCAATAAAATCTCCAAAAACCTTCAAATTGAAATTTCTTCCGTTTTGTTTGTTTTTGTTTGCATTGTAGACTTACAGCATGTAGCCATTACACAACCGGCTTTGTTGACTTTTGAAGGACCTAAATGTAAGTTGTTAACGTGCATTATTTGGTAGGATATTACGTAATCCCAGATACATGTGTGAAATATACTACTGGTTGAGATGAGTAGTTGAAGATAACTTACACTAATCAAATCCGACTGGTCTCTGATCATCACATGTCTATTGTGTTGGTTTACATTTGAGTACATCAGTGACACCCGGAGTGTAGGTACTCAAAGTGATAAAAAGTTTTTATAGGATCTATACTCATAGAAGAGAGTTACATAGCTGTGGTGTTGCTTGTTTACCCAAATCGAAGTAGATGAAGTGGGTTTCGAACCCGAGATTTATTGTATGGAAGTCGTATGTTGAAGTTGATGAGCCATCTGTTCACCATTCTTAATACTCCTTTTAGAGACAAAATACAGAACAAATCTCTTCATCAAAGGTGTCAAAAAATCCATTATGTCAAGGAGTATGAATAGAAAGTGAATTCGTTAAAGTATTTCGACGTTATTAAATCTGCCATCAGAATTCCACTAACTAATTTTAAAACTTCTATTATTAAATGTTTTTTACACCGAAATTTCATACACCATATCAATCTGGTCAAAGTCTCTGTGGTTATCAGATGAATAGAGAGTTACCGTACTTTGTAAATTAGAATGATCAGCAGCTAAAATTATTACGAATGGTGAGATACACCTAACACTTTTACTTCTGTCAAGTCAGTTGGATGCATTTGTATCATCATTCTTACACACTGCTTGATAGGAATTCATGAACACACTTTTTCAAGAGCACACTATGTAAAGTGTGACAAGAAGAAGTTTCTCAGCATAGTTTTCATAAGCATGATGTTATCATTTGACTGAGAAACAACCCAAAGGTAAAAATTGAAAAATTTCTAGAGATATTTTCATTTTACTCTTGGTAAATTCTGTCAACAAATACTGCTTGGTCGTTAAAATGACCGTTCTTAGGTCTTTTTCAAAATCTTGTGAGTTTGTAGAATCACCTAGATTATTACTTTAGGATTAGTCAAAATGGTTGCGAGGGATGATAGAGAGTGAAGTGGTCGATTGCGTTGACCACTTCCCCTACTTGGAAGGTCAAACCAACCTGCATCAACTATAACACCGTTGTCATATCCGATCGCTTACTATGGGTCAGGTGCTTGACAGTTCACTCTGTCCTACAATATGACTGTGAGACGTGATCATTAAAGGTGGAGGGCATTAGGATGCTTCAGGTGCTCGACCACTGTCACATTCGTAGCATGGAGAGTGTGTTGTGGTGATATCACGTCAGTAACACAGAAGTTAGGTATAAAGCTTTAGTCAGAAAAAACGAGTTGGTGAAGTTTTGAACTTTCATAAGCATGTGTTGTACATGCTTAGTCACCATATGGCCCGTAACGGAATATTCAGTGACGTAGGCTTAGCCTGGTATAACGTTGGTGGTGGCTAGAGTAAACTATGGCATCATATCATAAGGTTTTTGACTATCAATCTCAATCGTGTACAGAAATCTAGTCTTTTAGATCGAGGTCTGTATGACAACTAAAATCCATAGCTGGAGTCTGTAAGTTATATAATTACTTCTAAGTCGACTGGAGTGGCGCAGATTCATCTACATGTCATCTCTATCTTAGCCGCTATATATATCGCATTTCATTATCCTTTCACTCCCTTTTCTCTTCCTACTACTTTCTGTGACTTTTGATTACATTAATTCCATTTCCTTATCTTTCATCTTGATTTTATGATGTAAGGTGTTGTAACTTAGGATGTTACTCAGTAATTCTAAGGCATATGCTGTTTTTCACTAAGTGACCGACTAGTTTTCGTAATATAATTCACTATGGAAAAGGTTGAAACTAATTCAATAATAACTTTATTTGGACTTCGTTTAATAACTTTTATTTCAGTCGCAAACGTCTAAGGAGAAGTGTTATGGTAAAATTATTTGATATGTATGCAGACTGCTTCCGATGGTACTAAATTCCTAGCCTAGTGGCTGCACTCCATTCCAGGGACTCTGGTGCGTCACTATTTGTCATACAATAACCGATTTGTGTAAAATATAGCCAGTTCAATAGTGCTTTTCTTTATCAGTGTAGCTTTGTTCAGTTTCTTACTCAAAATAATGTGACATTTTGTTTTACACACTCAACTTTCGATTCATATATGCAGCTGAAGTTTTCTGCTCTCCATCCCTATCTCTACAGATACCTGCCTTGTAGTAAATTTGACCTACTTTATGGGGACTGATTTTCTATAAGTTCATTCATCTGTACTTTCCATGGGGATGTAACCATTCCTAAAATGCTTTGTCTCATATCGAACTACTAGTTACTCAACTATGTACCGCTTCGAAATTTCAGATTATTGATAGTAGTATGAGATACTTATGATAGTGGATTAAAAAAGGACAGTTCTTTTCATTTCGTGACCAATATGCACCATAATTATTTCAGTAAGCGAACTATTTCATCGAAGTATGAAATAGAATATTTCAACTTTATGTGGGTAGATGAAGCAAAGATATGCTTATATCAATGACAATATCAGATATAGCCATCGTTTTAGCAAACTAGTGAGGTAAAATGAAAACTTGATTCGCAGTAAGATTCGAGTAACCAGCGACTTATGGGTCACTGGCTCGGTGCTCTATTGACTGACCTTCAAAACCCAGTTTCACTTTAATTATCCACGGTTTTACCCAATTGTCAGTGACATGTAACTATCCGTTCATCGTGATAACACTGACTTCACAGCTACGTTCTCTCATCTTAATTCAAATCGAGTTGAGTTGAAGAAAAGGAGCGTCCTACTAACTATTAATGAGACTATCTGAAATAGCCGGAAAGTTCCATATAGACCATATCTCAGAGTTTTACACTGAAGCAACCATGGACAGTGAATTGTGTCCTAAACATTATCCAGTAAATAGTACTGTTACACTGAATAAAGTATATCAACCACGTCTAAAGTGTGATCACCATGTTAGAGAAATAGCCACTGCGTTATGCTTTCATTAGTGTTAAGTGACCGAAAGATATTGGTAAGCTGCCCTGCTTGACCTAGTTTTCACGTTTACTGACACTTATCAATAAGGTTCATTTGTAGTCTCGAGACAATTGATCCTCTCTTAGGTATCCTAACCCCACATCAAACCGTTGAAAAGCTTTACCAAGGGGTAATTCATGTTGCAAATGTTCTCTTACAGGGCTGAACTATATATAGCGAGTGGAGAATAATCACTGCTGTTTATTTGTGAATGATGATGGGTTTCTACCAACAACTTTTGTAGTTTTCATCATTTGCGTTTTCTTCAGGTACTTCCCATCGAGTTTAACTGGGAAATGACAGTAAATGCAATCTTGTGTCTTCAGTATCAGTGAACTCTGCTTCTGTTAACACTAAAATTAGCTTGCAAAGCAGTTATTATCCCAGTTTGAAATCAGATAGAAAACCGCTAAAACTCAATGTTTCATTCTTCCTAACTTCTTTCGACTTATAATATATTGAGACCTCCATCCAGTGCTATCAGTGACTATCTGTCGTCACACTTACACGATCTAATAGCCATGGATACGCTCTGGCGTGAAATCTCAAATCAGACAGTCAGTGATGTCTGTCTTACAATGGTCCTGTGGGTGATATCTATTCGTGATAGAAATCCCTTTAGATTCTATTGCTTATCCTCAAATCTTCAAACCGACTTAAGTTAGTGCCTGAAAAGAACAGAATCCCTTTATACAAAGTATATTACCTTTTAAAACTAAGTGTTACTGTCAGTTGGCAGGGAGCTCTGGATATGGGTTTTCGGCTTGTTGGCACTTGCTAGCAAGGGGTATCTGCAGCCTCGACGGAACTGATGTCCCATCTAAGACTCAGACCCGTGTCCTCCAGCGTTGAAGTCATCTGTTTAAGTGCACCGCGATGCCGAGACTCCTAGGTTGGTGGCCACATTGAGAAATGGCAGATGGAATTCGGTCAGTACTCAGGGCTAGACAACATAAAATTTGTTAACCTCAAGGGACCAGTCAATGTAACTGAATATACTGTACATCGTAAAACAATGATGGCCGAAAATAATCCTTGATTAGAAGACTATTCAATGCAGGGAAGTACAATTCTTATGGAAAAAGATTTGCAAGCCATAGATGTATTTATCTTAGTTCTCATCATGAAAATGCTTTTGGATATAAACAGATGGGGTTACTGCTGTAAGCTGGGGGGCCCTGAAAACTGACTACTACTAAAGGTTCTGGATTCTTCTCTAAAACTGGAAACACTAAGCATGGCAAATATTCGTGGTCGTTAAAATTTCAGAATTATGCACTTTACACCCCATAAAAGTAATTCAGCATATAATATGTGTCAGGAAGTCTGAGCATTACTACTTACACTACAAGAGCATTTGATGGTAAGTCAGTTTTGATTTACCAAAATGTTTTAGTTCATTAACCTGAAAGGATTCCACTTGTTGTTGATTTGACCGAGGAAAGTCCCCTTGGATTCCAGTGACAAGTTTTTATCTATAGGGTTGATCATTTCAAATGAAAAATTCTACTAGCCATTTTAAAAGGAAGGAGAGAGAAAATTAGAGCTGTGTAAACCATTTGTCAATAGTTGTGGAGTTGCCCTGATATTGCTATGAATGACAAGGTTTTTTCTGAACGTGATCTAGTAAATAATACTGTTTCACTGTGAGGTACATCGACTGAAACAATAGGATATCTGTTAGAACAATGCATAAATAAATGAAATTCTCATGGTATTGAACTATTGAACAATTGTTTTTCCAAAACCATATATTATTTTAGTAATTTGGAGTCTACCTTTATCATCTCCTGTAATCGGTATGTATGCGGTGTGGTCACCATCATCGGATTCATCATCTAGCCTTCATAATAACAATATGCCGAATGCACAAATGCATGAAGAAGCTCCCAGTTATGGTGATCCATCAGATGACGAAGTAGTAACAACGACATTTCAAGATTCTATCATTACTGAATCTAATGAGAACAATAAGAAGAACAATGTAAATGACAACAACAGTAACAGACCATCACAGAAGGAAGTAGTTCAATTACCACGAGTACTTAGACGGATTGCATTCACAACTTATGCATTAGATCTACGTAATATATCTAGTTTTCCAGAGGATCGAATTTATGATGAGATTGAGGCAAAATTTAGTGGAACATTGGATTTAGCGTAAGTTTTACCACTGAATAAATATCCTTTCATCGGTGTAATGTCATGAAATGTCTTGTAGAAATATCCTAATGTTATGATTCATATGTTGTTGGTTGTATTATCTCATCGTTGTATGGACCGAATTGATCCATTATTCATATATAAATCAAACAAACAATATCGAGGCATCGGCACAGGAGTCCATATGCCAATAGAGACCGATTAATTGGGTCCACTCAGCGACGAGATCATGAAAGCAACAACATGAAAACTATATCCATCGCACAAGAAGTGGCTATGGTAACCCGGTGATCTAGTGGGTAACGCCCTGGCGTTTGAAGCGATCGGTCACGAGTTGGACTCCTAGTGGGAACAACATCGCTCACTGGGAGGCAGGTACACCTAACTGACGAGTCACAAGTAGGACGAAACGTGCATCCTGAGTTCCACTGTTAGGCACTATCCATCATTCAGTTATAATCCACAGTTTACAAAATTTACTTACATCTTACAACTATTCATTTTTGAGTGCGCTTATTTTTCCGCCTCTTTATTGTGTTAAGCTCAATATTCTCGTTAAATAGTGAAACAGCACGTCTAGCATCGTAGAGTATTGAAGAAAACTATCCTAGATTCGCCAATAGAAGCCCTTGGTTCTAATGATACCAATAAGTTTCTACTTCTTAGATCGTTTGAGTTCTCTGCGTTGTTAGTATTACCAATCAATATCAACTTGGGACCTGAGATTAGTGCTTTGTGGTGCAAGTTGTGAAGTCATTCCTCATAGGTTAAGGTGGTTGTCGTAAGTATTGTGTTAGTAACGATTCTCTGAACCCTTTTCAGAAGGTCTGAGCCACCAAATTATGGACTTCCTTTGGATGAAACCCTTAACATTCAGTCATCACAATAAGTATAATAATTCCTGATGATCCTTAAATAGGCAGAAATATTTAACTTGCTAGTAATGTTTGATTATGGATATTTGTTCAGTACACATGGAACTGTATTCTAATGTGCTGTCTATTTGTACTGCATTAACCTAATGTCACTGATCTCCTTTTGCATTATTTATGACTATTTATTATCCCATACAACTGTTATAGGTTCTGTATTTTACTTTCTATCTTTATGTTTTACACACAGACCTTCATTGTACATTGGACGGTCGAAATCAGCTCCAGTTTATGCTTTATTGTGTGTAGCAGAGGCTACATTAAGATTACGTGGTTTACGTAGAGCTTCTGAAATGTATATGTTAGAAGGCCCAAAAAATTTGATCGTTGTGAATAACAGTCAACAAGAGACTACTACTGAATCAGATAGTAGTAGTGGTACTAATCGTACTGACGATAATTGGCCAACTGGTCTGATCGGTTTATATGAAATGCCTCCAAGCTATAATAGAGCATGGGATAATAATGAAATGGATGATCAATTCATGCCTATGCGTAAACGAGGCAATCGATTAAAGCGTTTGTCGTCACTGTCATCAGATGCATCTACAATGTAAGTGACCTGTTACCATTTTATTCATTCCACTAAATTTAACGTACTTACGGGATTAACGTCCTTTTCTTCTTCCTTTTCCAGTTTATCATTTTTGATCATGATAGAAAATGTCATTTAAGCGTTGTAACTCAGTAATATCTGGGGTATTCCATACAGTTTTAGTGGTATAGGTTGCATCCTAATTGCTGAAGTTTGTTGTTGGATGATTGGATGTAATTGGCAGGAAACCGTAGACCTAGGTTTCATGGGTTTTAGCACTCGTCAAGAAGCCGTATCTACAACCTCGACAGAACCTGAGATTCGAGCCTGCATCACCGAGTAATATATTCAAGAACGGGTCACCCCCAAAGACCGCTAGTTTGAACGTTGTCGTGATCCAGATTTTTATTTTACCTTCAATCATCACTCAGTATCGATAATGAATATCCTAGGTGGTATTCGTAGATGCCTTTAAGAGAACAAGTGAATGTAACAAAACGTGTTGGTTTCATATATTGAAGCGTTCTTTAGCCAGAAAGGGATCTTTATCAAAAACCTATTCTGCTGTACGAATTATCCTTTAGTGAATCCTGAAAGTTAACTGAATATCATCACAGTTATCAGCATAAAGATCTAGTTTGTTCAGTCAGATCTCATTAAAAGTATGAAATCTACCTAGGTCCAACATTATCTCAATCAGTTAATGACATATTTACCCACCTTGAAGGTAGAGGCTAAACTTCTATGATATAAGTCAAAAAGTCACAGAATTCTTGACAAATCCACAGTTTGAATATTTACTCGGTAAAACCAATGATCTGGTTCCTTTCTCCAACTAGAAGTTCTTGCACTTCAGATCAATTATCCTTTACTGTTCTTGTTATGTCAGGGTTCAACCATTATTAAAGACCGAACTGATATGTTGAGTCAGTAAGCTTGATCTGTTGTTTAGTGGTATAGACATTCTGTAGTAGTACGCCGCATACTGCGTAACTTGTGAAACTTAGTCATTAAATACTGGTCACATATTCTAAAGACGGTGAACATTAAAGGTATCGGTTTCTTCGAAGTACTAAGATTTTGGTTAGCATGCCGATTGTGAAGGATGTAGACTGACTGTGAAAGCTGTAAACCTGCATTGACTCATACAAGTTTTTTTTTGTCTATCTAACTGAAAACCATTGTTAATTTTTACATGTTTTTTGTTAGAGTAGAAGTTAGATTGAGAAATTCTGTAGGCAATTATGCGAAAATATTCCACCAACTTGTTAACCCTAAGTGTTTCATTTTTTGTCTATAGAATTTCGAAAATTTGTCGTCAAAGTTATGAAATAACTTTAAGTTCGAAAACAGAGTTTGAAGCGAATACGTATTTTAGGTAAACTATCATCAGGTTTTATATTTACACTTACAAATTATTCAGTATGGACATTTGATACCACCATGGTTAATTAAATTTGAGTGTATGAATTAGAAGATAACAGTAAAGGTGATAATAACAAAAAATCTCGGAAAAATGTATTTTTGAGATGAATGGGGATTTTTAATTTAGAAGTAGTATTCATCATGGACTGACATCAGTCGGGGAACCATTGAAAATCTGAGAGCACTGGACACCTGTTTCGTCCTAGTATGGGACTCCTCAGCAGTACGCACCCACGACCTGGCTAGGGGTCCAACTCGGGACCTTCAGGTTTCACGGCGAACGCGTTAACCATCCAGCCACTGGGTCGGTTCCCAGTGGTTCACAATTTCTATCTTCTGCCAATTCACGATATAGCGTGACTGTCACCCAAGGTCTTCAGTTAGCATCCACTCCACTTCCGACTGGTTGACCCCACAGGTCACGGCTTCTAATCAAAAATTATCAAAATCTCGGAAAGTTTACATATTCTCAGTAGTCAATCGTTGTGTGTGTGTGTGTGTGTATGTGTGTAAGGATAGAGGGAAATAAAATTATTGTCACATAATGATTAGATAATAAACTGTTAAAATTATTGGTCAATTATGAAACTAAGGGCGAAAAATAAAATGATAATGATAAGAGTACAAGTAGAGGAGATAATGTTTACATTTATCCGGGTGACCGTGGAGGAAATTGTAATTGTTTCTGGGTTGAAGTTGAAAGCCATGGGAGGAAAAGAGAACGAACAGACATCGTCTGAATACATAAATTAGGTTTGAGAATTTTAATTGCTATGGCCTCTCCTATGCCTAGCGATCAGAGGCACACAAACTTTAGAGTATTGTGATGGGACTTTGTAAATAATAGTAAATGCTGAGGTTTTGTCAATTTTATGCTCACTATCTACTAAATGGACGAGTATTGAGCATTTGATGGATTTCACTATTCCCTAGCCTAACCACGTTGGACAGTGTTCAGTGGAGCGATGATGTGCCTGCCGAGTCGTTTTACCTACATGAATATCTCCACAAATGCAGTTAAATCTATAAATGCACATAGATGTGGCCAGATTCGGAAGCCTATCCTTCAACCACATTAGCATCATACAGCAGGTCGTAAATTTCAAACATAGTGTGGCGGGAAAGATTTTCTGTATAAGATTTCTGAGTTTTAGTTTCAGTGTTTCTGCATCTGCATTCGCTTTGAACGCTTAGGTTAGATACAATCGTTTCTTTGGCAGCATTTGAAGGCGCTTTTCTCCAGTTGTTTTCATTGTTGCAGTCTTTACGAAGTTTTCAGGATAGCCGTTCTCATATTAGGAGTTCTCCGTTATTCTCAATTCATCATTCAGAGTGTCAGATGTGTAAATCTTACTGACTCAAAACATCAGTGTACGGACTAAATTCCTTTTGTACGCAAGAGAAACAAATGGTCGGGAATATGTATAGTGACCAACCCAAGATGTCTTACGATAAATACTGTGTCTGATACTGTCATCTGTCCTTCTTAATAGCATAACATACAGAAATAGTAGATATCTGTCGTTCTCTGTTTCACATGTGAACTCGATTTCTGGATGAGCACTGTTGAATGTATCGAGAGGAATATCAGGATTAGTGTCATTTTTGTACAGAAGGAAATCGTCATCTATATGTCTACTATAGAAGGGCAGTTCATCGATCGTGCTACACAGTGGTCCAATTTCCAATTTCTCCATAAACATGTCGGCTAGAAGAGAATCTAATGAGGTACCCATTACCAGATTTTCTATCTAACAGTAAATTTCTTTGTTAGACTGATATTGTACTTTCATCGTACAACGAAGAAGCAGCTTTCGTAGGGTTGCAAGTGGTATACCTACCTCTATCTTGTTATCTAGCAGTGAACTACAAATGAAATCAATTGTTTTTAGAAGAAAAACATTGGTAGACAAGGAAGTAACATCCATAGAAATCATTATTTTCTTTACTAATGTTCTTGTCTTCGACTTTTGAAATAAATTCAAAAGTGCCATTTAAGCCATATTTATCTACCTTACGTTCTAGCGGTTTCAGTATATCTGTTAACCATCTTGCTACTTCATGATACGGTGAATTTTGTTATTGTTATTATCACCTTTGTCGTGTTATCTTCTAATTCATATACCTGAATTAATTTTTAACCATGTTGGTATCATATGACTATGCTGAATAATTTGTAAGTGTAAATTAAATGTAGAGCCTGATGAGAATTTACCGAAAATATGTATTCACTTCAAACTCTGTTTTTTAATCATCACAATGTGAATATTCAAATTATAAACTTAAATCTTGTTATTATACATTTTGAAGATCCGACTATTTGTTTTCCACTTCCTCATTTTCATGTTATAAGTTCTGTAAGAATTTTTATGTCATTCTTCTCTTATTTATTTTTACTGGTTTGTAACTATGTAACCCTACTCTGACTAGCTTTCACACTGTACTGTTTAGAATCTCTTGATCGTTGAATATTTCCATTCATTTTCATAAATTTATTTTCGCTCCTAAATAAAATGATTGATTTGCAAATGATTTACAAGTTAAACGGTCCACATTGACATTTCTCATAGTTGAGTAGTTTTTCAACTCCATATTAGATTTGTTTATTTGATTTATAACACACTGTGATCTAGTATTATTTACTGAATGATGTTTCGAGCTTAAATTATTGCTCATAATCATATCAATGTAATCACACCACTTTCAACATTTGATTTCTATAGTTATGTCACCTTATATGAGTTGTTTTTATTGGTAGCAAAATTTTTCCATATCTCTTGTATAGGTGTTGCGTCATTTCTATTACATGTGTTGCCTGTTGATTTGATGAAAAAAGATTCAGTAATCAATCCCTCTCTATCTCCATCTAATTATATTGGACTTGAGTACAGTGACTTTATCCCACCTTATTGTGTGGTTGTGTGTTAATGCATGCACAGCAATAGCTAAGTTTTCTCCTAGATTATTGATCTTATTTAGGTCTGTTATTCTATATTTATCTAAATTCTTATATTCGGCTATTCTAACTGATCCCGACCGGTTAGTTTGGCATATATACTTGGGCTCTCAATCATTACATGGAATTTGATAGATAAGATTACTTTGCTCAGAAACTTCACGTAGAATCCTCAACAGAGCTGGAATTAGGGTAGTATTTAAACCTACAAACTCACTCAGAGATACTTTGTCGGCTTAAGGATCCGATAGAACCAATTAAGCGAAATAATGTAATCTATTAAATCCCATGTAATGACTGTGAGGTCAAGTATATAGGTCAAACTAGTCAGTCGGAGTCAGTGAGAATAGCTAAACATAGGAATTTAGATAAATATAGAATAACAGACCTAAATAAGATCAATAATCTAGGAGAAAACTTAGCTATTGCTGTGCATGCATTAACACACAACCACACAATAAGGTGGGATAAAGTCACTGTACTCAAGTCCAATATAATTAGATGGAGATAGAGAGGGATTGATTACTGAATCTTTTTTCATCAAATCAACAGGCAACACATGTAATAGAAATGACGCAACACCTATACAAGAGATATGGAAAAATTTTGCTACCAATAAAAACAACTCATATAAGGTGACATAACTATAGAAATCAAATGTTGAAAGTGGTGTGATTACGTTGGTATGGTTTTATTTGTCCCTTCAGTTCCTAGTGGTACATAGGGCTTCAGTAGCATGTCTCCATTCCACTCCATTCTCTGCAATCTGTTGAACCTGGCTCCAAGACTGCCCAGAAGCTCTCATTTCTTCCTCATACAATCTTCTCCATGTCACCCTCGGACGCCCAACTCACCGTTTCCCCTATGGGTTCCACTCGAGTGCCTGGTGCGTGATGTCCTCGAATGGTCTCCCCAGTGTATGCCCAATCAATCTCCACTTCCTCCTGCATATTTCTTGAGCGATAGGTCCTTGGTTGGTTCGTTACCAGCCAGCCAGCCAGCCAGCCAGCCAGCCAGCCAGCCAGCCAGCCAGCCAGCCAGCCAGCCAGCCAGCCAGCCAGCCAGCCAGCCAGCCAGCCAGCCAGCCAGCCAGCCAGCCAGCCAGCCAGCCAGCCAGCCAGCCAGATTTCCTTGTTGCTTATTCTTTCTGATATGATTATGAAAAATAATTTATGCTCAAAACGTCATCAAGTAAATAATATTATTTCACTGTGTGTTATAAATCAAATAAACAAATCTAATATGGAATTAAATTCTATCACAGTGCCCAAGTTTTACACCTATATTTATAGTTTTTCAACCGTCCAACTCTGACCTCAATACGGTTTCCATTGGACATCAACCAACAAACATCATAAGACTTGAGGATGAAAATTTGATGTGATAAAGTTGAATAAGTTAAGCATTAGGTAAATGGAATATATTTGTAAAATCTTCCTACCTCATTGGGATTTTACAAGGTGTGATTTCTGACATAGATCACTCTGATTTGGCTAGGGAAATACTACAGATCAGTATGAGTGGTTTCTAACTACTCAGGTTGTTCAGTAGTAGTATATTCTGACTCCTCTCATGTACGCTTTCATCTACTCTAATGTCAGTCTTTCTCAATCCACTTCTTGTCTGTATGTTGTCAACCTCAATTGATTCACTTCTGTGTGTAAGGTTCTGTGTTCATTTTTATTTATTTCAGAGATTGTGTTCACTAGTTGAGGGATGATTGAATAGTGTGTTATTCAAACAACGCCCTAAAAATTCTACTACTTAGTATTTGTTCATTACCTGTGAATTCTGTTCATACAACGAAGTGGTTTATTCACAAGTAGATGTACAATCTTTGACCTGAAGATGTGCATATTTATATTTCAAGCATACATTTCATTTAATTCATTTAAACTAAAACTGTATGAGCATTTTTAACAATAAAGTTTCTTTTTGTTTTCGACTATACATCTTAACAGTGCTAATGTTTATATGCTGTAAATGAAGAAACAACTGTTTATTTGTTTATTTTCCTGCTTTTCTTTCTTTCTTCTTTTTTTTTTGCCCTCATGTAACATTGTTTTCAATATTGATCCATTGTATAACACAACAGATACTTCAACTATTGTTTTGCTGGTTGGTTGTAGTTCAATTGATAAATATCCTGTCTTTACTTCATGCATTCCTGCTATCTTCACCCATGTATAATATCATTGTTAATTTAACGTGATCACAAAAGACTGTATACTAAAAGTGGATGATGGGATAGATTATCTAGCTTCATATTAATGCACAAGAATACTATCAACTACATATATCTATCGTCTATGGTATGGATTAAGAATATAGTTGGCAGAAAGCCTTGGACCTACGTTTCGTGCTTTTCAGCACTCATCAACAAAGCATATCTGCAACCTCGACAGAACTGATGTCCCTTGTGAGATTTGAACCTGCATCACCCAATACTTTAATTAGAGACGTTACTACTGAGCTAATCGAGCGGCGAATGAACTCTTGTAGGACTGGATGAGGTACATTGATTGGTCTACATACTTTAATTAATGGGTGTCACCTTTTACCACCCAATGGATGGACAACAGATTGCTCATACGCTTATAAATTAACTTGAAAAATAAGACCAATTTGAAGGCATGATAGTAAGTATTGATCAGTGATGAGAATGGAATTTGTGATGAAAATTAGGTCAAGTAATGTTTTATCACTTCATCTTAATAATTCAGGATAATATGTATAAATTGAAACCCTAACCGAGCATATATCCATTTGTTTTAGTAGACTATCGGATCATAGAAACCACTTTTCTGTGCTAAATTATTTAGTGAGTGCTGATCTTTTTTTCCATTTGATTGCCTGTGCTTTTAACTATATCTTTTATTCTGAAGGTAAGAAGAAAAATCAGCGTAAAATCTTACAGAGCTAGGTAACCTGAACCTCACTGCATAGTTTTGATCAATACTCAGGATTGGTACCACGTTTCGGTTTGACCACTTTTAACTTTCTTCTAGCTTAGTTATACTTCAGTTAACATGATGAGTTAATAGAGACGATGTACCGATATATGTTGCTCATGTCCTCTTATTTTCTGTTGTATACACCTGTAATCAGAAATGTGTAACCTCCTTACATCTTTCACCGCCTGGATAGTATACTAGTCGTTAAATAGTTGCATATATCAGAGAAAAACGTAATTTGACGCATACCAAATATCATACGTAATGCTAAAACCTATGTCAAGGGCTCAGTCCAGTTCACAAAGCATTCTTAGTTTTCTTAAATGTTAATAATAAAGGATTTTATTCGTCAGTTATCGTTGATTCTTCAATTTGATTACCGTGGTTATTGTATCTTTCATTGAGTTTTACCAGATGTAATGTTGATTCGTTATGAAAATGTTTTAAGTGTGCACTATTTACTTATTTTTAGTATTATTAATTGATATCCATCAAACCTGTTTTATGCCACTTCATTTTATCCATTCTAAAATCATTTATCGACTAATATTTTGTGTATATTTTCTCTAAAAATTAGGTGGGCTATCATTGTGCCTCCACCAAGTCCATTAGCAAGTCCTACAGAAACTGTAAATACATCGGAGATCACTGTATCACAGGATTCCGCTGTCATTGATACCCACAAAAATACTAATGACAGTAGTCATGCTGAGGATAGTCATCTTAATCACAGACCGCTATCCAATTCTCGTTGGCTACTTTGGTCTACATCTTTACTCTGCACTATTCTGTGTATAATTACCGTTTGGATATTATTTCTAAGCTTTTTTACGAAGTCTAGAAAGACCTACAGTACGATACAACATACTAAATATTTTGAAGTAGTACATACCATATTTTCAAAGTTGTTCATTTTGCATCATAATAAGAATCTTAATTTTTCGACGAGTACGCATACAGAGAAAACTAATCTGTCAACAGAAATGCATCTGACAATACCAGGTTTCCTACCTCCACATTTCGATACACCAGATTCTAGTGGTTGGGCTGGATGTTCAGCGCAGGAGGCTGGTCAACCGGAACCGATTCGTATTAATTTAAATGAAGTTTTAGGCCATGGTGCAAATGGAACTATGGTATTTGCGTAAGTTTTAATTAGATTTCAAATAATACCTTTCTTTGAGCTTTTGCGTATCATATTCTTCCATTCATAATTTGCTAACTACGTTGGTTATTTTGTATACTGCTACAGGATTAAATGGTATGTTCATAAAGAGGTGTCAACTTTTCGCTAACTATGTAGTCAGCGATTAGAGTCACATACCATCAGTTTCATTATAGAATATCTGGTAGTATGTAAACCATCAGTCAAATGTGTTCCTTACGAAAAACACCATTTATTTTGGTGGGTTCGTATCATTTGAAAGTTCTCTCTTAGCGCTTACGCCAACACTAACGGTCCATATCGACAGTGAGTGACCTTATGGGTTTGTCTGAACTCCTTGAGGTTTCTTTCATTCTTCATGTAATTGAGACTTCTTAGGCAGTGGGGATGTTGGTTAGTCCTATACAACACGATGTCAACAATAAGCCTTGATTATAAACATTCATACCATAGTTATTACGAATGTCTTGAGAGAAGTTGAGCACCGAGTCAGGTTTAATCATTAGATGATGAACTTTTGTTATAATCCCAGCGTGTTTAGAAAATCGAAAACAAGATTTTTCTGGACGTTTCAGTGTGTATACCGCAGCTTCTTCAGCAGTTACGTGGACGACACTTTGATTATCTGTGATCATCAATATGATTTGAATCATGTTTTACAATATTCAATAACTGCCATTCAGCAATTAGGTTCACACTCAAGGTCAAAAGTCGATCGAAAATTCACTTTCTTGACGTAGAGCTGACAAGAACAGCTGATGGAACGTTAAGCAGATCAATTCAGAGAAAACCAATGTGGATTGGTCAACTGACGAACTTCAGTAGTTGGGTTCCTGTGAGTCGTAAACGAAGTTTGATCATATCTCTTGCCACTCGCATTGGAAAAATCTGCACTCCCGATGTGTCGGAAGAGGACATTTCTGTTTTAAAGAACATCCTGACTGGAAACGGATTCCCATCACACTTCATTGGCAAAAACATGAAGCCTAAACTTTGTGATGAAAATCTACCACCATACCAAAAGAGACACTATATGAATCTCAACTTCAAAGGTGATTCTGCCTCCGAGACTCTAAAAGGAGGATATCAAACGCTCTGAGGAGAACATTTTTTACATTAGCACTGAGACTTGTGTTCTCTTGTCACCCAACGATTTCTAACAACTCAAAGGAGAAACTTTCGGGTCTGACCACTTTTATGTGCATATATCAATTCACCTGCTCTTGTGGAGCCAGGTATATAGGTCGTTCGATGAGACTGTTATCCAAAAGGGTTCAAAAACGCTATCCTGCGTGGTTACAAAGAGGAGCGGTAAGGAGTGCTATAATTGAACATGAACATGAACACAAATCACTCTATCTCAAATACCTCGTTTAAAGTCATTTATAAAGTGAAAAGATACCTCCCAAACGCTATATGTCTTCGTATTCTCTGCATCGCCGAATCTCTTGCCATCCACATGGAGAAACGTGAACTGTGTACACAAAAGAGGGTTGTTCAATCTCTTTTCCTTTCATGGTCTTAGTTTTCAGTCTTCTCTACTCTCCTAACCACCTTTTTCTTTTCATCTTCCCGTTTCGACACTATTCACTTCTTAAGAAATTTGCTACTCATTCCTGTTGCTATGTTCTGCTTGATCACAGTTCAGTTTTCAAACTTCTTGTTCAAACTTATTTTGATTAATATTCACTACTCATCAGTTTTTCGGTTATTTTATTTTAATTTTAATGACAACTCTTTTATTGACACTATTTGTGTTTCCATGCTTGACAAATCGTTTTTAACTATCAAGTCTTAACACAAGAGAAATGCATAAATTTGCGATTGTACAGCTTTGAAAATGAAATCGCCGAAAAGAGACTCTTCGCTGAAATACCTGTTCTTCAGTATAATTGTTTTATATGATACCGTCGTTGCTTGTACCGAATTGATAGGTCTCTATTGGCATATGGGCTCCTGTGCGGATGCCTCGATATTGCCTGCGTTCTAATTGTATTAATGATGGGTCGTGGCTAGCAGTGGGATCCAGGATGCGCATTTCGTCCTATTTGGAACTCGTCAGCTGGTGGGAACAACACTCACTGGGAAGCAGGTACATCCAGCTGACGAGTCCCAAATAGGACGAAATGCGCATCCTGGATCCCACTGCTAGCCACGATCCACCAATTAATATACCTGTTCTTTTTTTTTAAATTCTTTTAAATTTGAGGTTAATTTGATCTGGTGGTGTTTTTAAGAGGTGACTAAGAACTAGTGAGTTACAGGTCTGAACCCTGATCCACCTCTTTTGTTTAGGCAGCCAGGAAGTATCATCAGTAGATCTTACACAATAGGTGTGGCTCATTGCCTACTGTGTGAATGTGCACAATGTTGCTGAGTGTATTTTGTTCGTTCTTTCATAATTTGATCTAGAGACCATACATCTTATCAGTGTTTTCATCAGATGATGAAGTATATAGCTAATCCTTGTGTAGTTAAAGGTAAAAAGAAAATTGCTTCAGGAATGGCTGAATTGAAAACCCTTACTCAAAATAAGCACTGATGGTGAATATCGATAGCTCTAAAGAACCCTGTTGAAAGCTTATGATAAGCTTTCATACAATTATATCAGTTTCAGGAGAGAATCTCTCAACAGCTTGTAGTTCAAAAATGATATTTTATAGTGACTAACATTTTTTCATTATAATTTTGTGTAGCTTATACACGGTCATTTGATATAATGGTGGACATTAATAGTTTATATTACTGATATCCTGTCAAAATAGTAGTATATCGCACTTATTACTTGATTATTCATAGATTTTAAAGCATAATACATACTCTTCAGTATTATTTTATTGTGCATTCAGATTTTGCAGTTAATGTTGTTGATATTTGATAGGAAAACTCGTTAAAAGTTAATTTCACTTGAACAACCGTTGATAATAAAAATGTTAATGGACAACTATTACTTAATGTTTTAAGATTTGTCGTTAGATTTAACCCTTTGGAAGGTAACAGTGATTAAAACTGATGGTTCAAGCATTCACATGAAGCTCATTAGTAATATTTTATTAGTAATTGTTATGAATACAGTTAGTAGAAGTTCATTACTTACTCTTCATAGTTTGGTACAGATACTAAGTTGTGAACAAAATCACTTCAAATTGACTAGCAGACTCAGATATTATAAAAATGAAATCCGAAATAGGCTTGTACAATGGTTCAGCTTATCACACCTCACATCATGATATCAGGATAGGAGGTAACCGGGGTTAAAAAAAAAAGAAGAAATATCTAACTTATACAATTATCTTACTGATTATTTTGAGCAGTGAAAGATTTAAAGAAAACGTGTAGACTCGGAAACAGACTGTAAGAGCTACACTATATTTTGTTAGTTTATTTCATGTCTCAAATATGTATAGTGAACTTTGTCATTTTTGTCTTTATTTTTCCGTTTGAAAATTGATGGTCAAAACAATACTTGCTTCATTCTTTTTACTTTCTATTTTGTTTAATACAGTGGAACTTATGGTCCACATGAAACAGCTGTTAAGCGTATCGTAAGACATCCTTTATTAGAGAAGCATTGGCGTCGTGAACATGCTATACTGTTGCGACATCAACATCCACACTTGGTTCGTTGTTATTGGACCGTAAGCGATTTCTAGTGAATAATAACAAAGAAGATTCTGTTATTTTAAAGTAGTCTTTTTTGTGATTGCAATAGAGTATCCAGACTCAAAGATCAGTTGTTTAGGTGGTCATGGGTCCTGGTAATGGAGATCGCGTTTTGTGGCTTTGATCAAACCACAACCTATATCTAGTTAGTATTAACGTCGATGTGTGCTACCAAGGTGTCCACCTTCTGCTGCTGAAAGCTTAACTTTGAAAGATCATATTTAAATTAAATACCGATACCGCAAATGGTATACAAGGCTGTTATTCCTTCTGGTTGCTGCTAATATGAATGTGTGTTTAAATTGCTTATCGTGTATTTAGGCTATGACTGACTGACACCGACTCACAAAATAAACGTAGGAACTCACACACAGGCGCATCGGATCAAGTTCCCACAATTCACAGTAGCACATAGAAAACAGGTGGATAACAAAGGAGTGATATCAAAGTAGAAAAAGTTGTGTGAGAGAATAAACAATTTGAGGACAATGATTAGTATGAATATTCAGGCTTTAGAAGATGTCAAGGATGGAATCCATCTGCGCCATTGTAACTGATTTTAAGCTGTGTCACCGAAACGTTTGCCAAACATATTTAGATTTATGCTCAGCGCGTTCAAAAAAACCCTGTCTGCATTCTGTCAACGTTCTCACCTAGTAGGACAATACCGTCTGCATACTGCAAGTCAACCAGATGACCTCCAAGGAGTAGGTCAATCCCTGTAAAGTCAGGTTATGTCCATTATTACGTTTATGACGGAGTTAAATAAGAACGGTGACAGTGTTCCTCCCTGGCGAACACCACCAGTTGTCGTCAATTCATATGACAACTCTTCATTAGCCTTGAAACACTTTCGTGAGTTCAGGTAAGGAGCCTTCGTTAGCTTTTTATACTTTTTTGATACTCCCTTCATAGTCAGACACTGCCATGACACCTCACGGTCGATAGAGTCAAACGTCGCCTTCGGGTGAAGAAATTTGGTAAGTGTTGGTCACTGGCCAGTAGATATGCATGTGTTCCAGAACCTGTTGAATGGTGAAAATATGATCGATACACCCTCGTCCAGATGTGTCTGAAACCTGTCTGATTTCCTCGAGTTTGTTGTTCTCTAGCTCCAGTTAGGAGTTGGATAACTACCGACTCTAGGATCTTGAACATAATATTGGTCGAATTAATTCGCCTATGGTTGTGAGATTTCTTTCCCTTATATAATGGACTGGGATGATCAGTGAAGTACATTAATCTGTTGGGACTACCTCTGATTTCCTCACACTACTCAGTACCTATTTCACTCTGATCATTAGTTTTCTACGTCCATCCTTGAAAACTTCGGGTTACAAACTATCAGCTCCTGCTACTTCACTTCGTTTCGGGTTCGATACAGCTTTTTCGACTTGAAGGAAAGTTGGAGGACCGACATCTACATCCGATTCAGGTTCAGGCTGGATGTGTGGCAATTAAAGCGTTGCTAAGAGCCGGTTGAACTGTACTTCAAGGTATTCTACTAGCCGCCTGTCATGTGAGGTTATCAGACTGCCATCCTTTATGGTGATGGTTTCATCCACCATCGTCATTTTCTTGTTGGTATCCTTAGTAACCCTCGAAAGTTACCGACTGTCACCAACGCTGATGCCTTCTCCATCTCTCTCACCTTCATCACCCATCACCGCTCGCGATCGACACGAAGACTCTTGGTTAACTTACGTTTAAGCTTCTTTCGCTCTTCACCTTGGTTACATCCAGCTGGAACCAGTCTTCTCACATCAATCAGTTCGGATGACGTTTCGGAAATCTAATGATATTTCCTAACCGAGTGTCGGTTACCGATTGCCTTTACTACTGTTTCGACATGAGACTAATATCATGTCAGGTTTCCTCAGGATGAACATTGCTGTCATGTTCAGATAGATGCCTAGCTATCTCTTCCCTGAATGCGTACTTGAAATCCTCATTTTCCAGTCGACCATAGACAGTCTTTACTATTGCCTGTTTCTTGTGACCAGTAAGGAGTAGACATACATGAGCCTGTAGTAGTATGTGGTCGGGGTGCAAATCGGCACTCTCGAAATAGCGGCAATCCTTCACTGATCTTGTCCAACAATAGCTTATGGCAATGCGGTCTGTCTGTCCGTCGTTAGTTTGAATTCTGTGGACGCCATGCGAGACTGTCTGTACTTATGTTTAAAGTTAGTGCTGGCCAGAAACAAGTGATTGTCAGAACAAAATTGCAAAAAATAATCACTGTTGTCTGTCAGTTTGCATGAGATTCCGTAGATACCCCCAAGATGCCTTTCGATTGGCTCAGCTTCCCTACTTGAGAGTTAAAGTCACCTGCCATTATGACTAAATCTGAAGTTTTCGCTCTCTGTAGCAAAGCTGACAGATTCTCATGGAATTCACCATTTGCATCATCCAAACTGTAGTCAGTGGGTGCGTAGGTGGGGATTGCGAATAGACACCGGTTGGTCTCACTGTCTCTCCTGGTTCTTACAGATCCATTCAGTCGAACAGCACATAGGTGGCTGTTGACTGGAAACTAGTCAAGAATCTTACTCCCTGCTCTACAACTCAATGCTATGCCTAAACCAGCGAGTCTGTAGGAGCTAGCCATTTGGTCGCCGGATACTTGTAAGGTGAACTTCGGAGGTTCACTATTATGGCCAGGTGAAGTCAATTTAATAACCACACTCGGGTCCTGTATACGTATCTCAGCATGCATCCATGACTAGAGATTCCAGAGTTCTGGCGAGTGATGCCTGCTGTTTGACTTGGCACTGAGTGCGGACGTTGAGAGCTCCAACATGAAATCGATAGCATGTTTTTAGGAAACCTGGAATGAGGTTTCAGTGACTTTGGTCGTTGACAATGGTTGCAGAGTAAGAGGTTGGCAAGGTATATGAGACCTAATATTAGTATCAGGGGTGAAGGAAAAGGTGGAGACAGAGCTGAGGTGGATAGGTTATGTTTGATTTGGTCTTGTGTACTATTTGAAGAGTGCGGATGGTTGACACTTCTCGGCCGCCCACACTACAGAAGGCTATTTCTTCTTAGGGTATCTGAAAGAATCAAAAAATTGTATAATCGCAGATCTCATGGCACATCTGCTTGAGGCCCGTCGCAAACTGCCTTTTGTGGTTTGTTTTTCTTTAGGTTTATTTGTTCGAACGCCGAATAGAGAAGATCCGCAACGCCGGTACCGGAAGACCGTGGAGCATGGTGGAGTGTGTTATTCTTGGAACCAAACTTTTCTAAACCCCTTCCTCAATACTGTTGGGAAGGCAGCGTCAGGATGGCACTGCTGATGGTCCAAGGGAAACACCTTACTGCCATTACACCTCATCCCGCTAGCAGCAGTACGACTTTACCTTCGGACTCCCGTCATAGTGTAGAAGTTTTAACTACAACGATAACTGCTTTTTGTTTCACCATTATCCAACAGACCTTTCTGGAATGGTAGGATTTTGAAGAGGGAATAAAAGTTTCACCAGCATAGCTCCTTAGGCCATTGTGATATGCAAACGCGACGATCACGTCAACGTAGCAGCTATTGGCTAGTTGGTTATCATTCACAGTTTGGCATAAACCTATTAGTTGCACATAGTATCTCATCTAATCATCTAACTTAATTAGATTCATGATAAGCTGTTGATTTACGTATTACATAAACGAGCGTTTATTACACTGACAAGACTCCATGCGAATAACCAGTAAGAACATTTCTAGCCTCAGAAGACATCTCTGTAATAAACATAGAGTCTCTTAGACGTTTTATAAAATTTCTGACATTCATTCTCATGGCGTTGCTTATAAGCACGTTTTTCGAAAAACTACGCCTTAGTATGTTTGGGAACAATGAATTGTGCCCTATACGTTATCCAGTAATTGCTACTATTACCCATTGTGTGGTAAATCGAATAAAGAAATGCGATTACAATCCAGCACTGTCCAAGTTTTACTCCTATATTAATTTACACAACATTTACTGGTCACATCGCTTGAGTGAGATAGAGGTAAGACCTAAAGCTTACATAGTAGTTAGGTGTTATGTCTCATCCAATTCACTTGCAGAAAAAGCTTCATGTCAGTGAGGCAGCCGTTGGCATGCTAATCAACAGCCTCAAATTGTATTTGGAATGTTGTATGAAGTGTTTCCAAATATAGCATAACTAATCTACTTCACAATTAAATTCAATCTTTATCGTTCGCTTCATAATTAGTGAACACGTACATATCTGACAAAACAGCTCCTAAAAGAATTTATAGGTTTTCAGGTACTCGGAGGCATTCGACCCAGATAACGTGCTCGCAACACTTCTAAGGGTGAAGGTGTAACTTTAGTCAAAGAATAAAACTGAATAGTGTGTGTTTCGTGATCGAACATTGTCATGCGTATTGCGGGTTAAAGACCGTTATGTTTATAAATGTTACGGGAGCTTCATCGCGTTGGACAGGTCCAAGCTAGTACACACACACACATACATTTGTACAGACTGGTTTAGTTTCAATATTTTTAATACCTTATCATCATCATTGAAAAATATCTATGTAATAACGTCATAAGAACTAGTTTTCTCACGTTGTTTATTCAAGATATGGTCCATTGTCTCCTCTTATTTACAGGTTGGTAACACTTATTTGTGAGTAAGTAAGGAATTACTAAGAACTTCACATTAGAAAGAAGTGTATCATGGAAAGTCACATAAAATCGAAGCATCAATCTTGAAGCCATTGTGAATAAATAGAAGTTTGAGGTAGTATTCATCAGGATCCTCAGGTTTCATGGCAAACGCTTTAACCATTCAGTCACAAAGTCAAAGTCCGATGGTTCATAGCTTTCAAACTTCTGTCAATTCGCGATATAGTGCATCTGTCTTCAGTCGGCATCCGCTTTCCTTCTGATTGGTTGACCATACAGGTCACGGCTTCTCATCAAAACTTCGTGATATCCGTTTTGAGGAACCGTTGGAAACCTGGGAGCACTAAACATGTTTCGTCCTAGTATGAAACTCCTCAGCAGCACACACGATCGGGCTAAGGACCGGACTCATGACCTTCCGGTTTTACACCGAAGGCGTTGACCATTCAGCCACTGGATCCTAGTTCAATGGTTCCCCAACTGATGTCAGTCCGTGATGAATTCTGCCTCAAAATTAAAATCCCTATCTCAAAACTGAAAGTTTATTTTATGCGCTGTCATCATAACTTTATCACTGTATAAGCATCATTATCAGCAAATTGCATTTCCAAGAGACCAGCTGCCTCAATATAGAAAGAATGAAGCTTTGAACACTGTACAACTATTTCATCCTAGTTTAACATGTTTAAAAGTGTGCCCTCCGAACTCATATCTCTTACTTTGTAGTATACTAACTACCAGGTTCTTGATTTTGTGGATGAAATTTTTCTTAAAAATGACTAGATATTGAAGTATTTATCAATCGATTCCAGGTCCAAATTACACCATGACGTCGATGAGATTAGATTACAGTTAACTGAAGTAGTCAAATGCTGAATTGGGTCGTTCAACCGAATGAGTCAGTGTAACGGACTCACTTTGGAAGCTGAGCTTCCGATGTCCAACTTCAAAAGATGGATAAACTTGGATATATTTTTATCAGTCTAGGCAATTGACTTTCAACCATTGCATGATTATGGGTTCGAACCCGACCCCAAGTATTAAGGATTTGACAAATCGATGGCATCACTAGCACATACGATAGATGTGTAGTTTATTGACTAGCGCACTAACCTGAGTCATATGAAATATGAGGAAAATGTATTCAAGACTCTATAACTTATATTCAGTAGTTTTTCGAATTTTGACGGTTGATAGTCGAAACTACATATAAAATTGCATGTCTAATTGATTACTCATTTTTATTTTTTAGGGTAGTACAGCAAATTTCACTATTTAGTGATGCAGAGGTGTGCATTGAGCTTAAATGAAGCCTTATCTCGAAGTACAAGAGCTCCACCACCATCATCATCTGATTGTACTAACCCAACTAATCCTACTAAGACATCACTACTTGATGATTTAGGTTTAACTCCAGTGGAAATCATTCATCAATTTATTTCGGCAGTTGCATGCCTTCATCGTAATCATATTGGTAAGTCTCTGATATCTTTCCACGCATACTTTTATTATTCTTTTCTGCCTATCGTGTGTGTGTTATTTGGGAGGTATCTAAGTAACTTCAAATATTTATGCTTACAAGTCGAACAACCCGTTGAATATCAGAAAGCATTATGCTTCCTCGATTGATTCCAAGCTAGTTTTCATCATATACCGACATTAAATACACAATCATTGAAAACCAGTAAGCATTAACCGTCTGTTCGTTGAGAGAGCGACCAGTTTCATCGAGTTTGGTAGTAAACATGCTGATTCAGTCATTGGTTTGGGAATCCAGTAGTTCACATTTTTCAAGTTCTGTCGGCTTGCGACAAAGTAATGTCTACACTTAGTATTATCGGTTATCATCTGTCTTCTCATACGAATTTATGTACTCTGTTTGCTTCTATTTCATTGCTTCCTGAAGTTAGTAATGAAACATTAGTAATAGGAAAAATATGATTCTCCGGTTTATATCGGTTTCACTTGTCTAAGATCCGCAGATATTTCACCAAATAAAGATATTTCAGAATTAGTGAACTTGTGATATGATATCATCCTTCCTTAGGTGTTATGGGACGTACTGGGATCTTGTTTTTGCTTCCTTTGGGTTGTCAGTTGACTGACAACTGACTGACGAAATCACTGTAGGACCTCGCAAATAGGTGCATCGCCTCAAGTTGCCACACTGCACAGGAGTACACAAAGAACAGATGGACAGAAAAAGAGTGATGTCAAAATAGACAAAGTTGTGTGAGAGAACAAACAATCTGGAGAGAGCGGTTAGTCCAAATATTCAAGCTTTAGAAGACCTCAAGGAGTAAATACATCTGTGCCACTGTGACCAATTTTCGTCGCTTTCACCAAGTTCCCTCAACCACTGATTTCTTTCATCTCGGGGACTCCAAATAGGTAGTCCAAAGTTTTCACCCGGCCCAGACCAAAAGGTAGAGACTTCATCAACTGGTGCCAGGTCTTTTATCTCACGACCCTGAACCATCTTTCAACCTAATCTAGCTTTCCGTAGCATTGCATGCCGAGGTAGGTGGTGGTTCGGTATGCTTAGTGCATTTCCAAGCCATCTCAGTCAACTAAGGTTCAGAACGTTGTCAGTTGTGAGTAATAATACGAATTCTGTGAGTTAGAGCTTAAAAAGTACTCTTCATTGATTTTTGAGTTGATGTTGAAGTGGGAGACAAGCTACTTTCTAATGTGTCTCCGTTATTTGTGACTACGTCACCATCATTGTGGGATGTAAAAGAAGCAGAACTATCAGACATATATTAATAGGCAAGCAGTACAAATCGTTAGAGAAGGTTGTAAACAATCACCTACTAAGCTGACTGTAATGTGGGTTATACATATCGACTCAGCGTCTCATCCAACACATCATGTGAACTGAAGAATGGCTGAGTTAGCAGAAAGTCGAAGGTGACCATGTTTCCCTACGTGGCTGAGGTTAACAGTCAAAGTCTACATAGCCTGATACCATATTTTACCTGCTACCCTTTCTCATTCCAAGTTACGTACAGTCTTTTCAACTTCTGGAAGAATTGAAGACCCTACCTCACTGTTTCATTGAGGGTTTGTGTGTGATGAGGTTGTAGGCAGCGGAATAGTAGTTGGGAGCCAGGTGAACTTCCCTCCGAAATGTTTGGGCCATCATTCTTGTGGTTTCCTCTGCGAGTAAACCGGTGACCTATTCATCTTCGCTATGGTTTCACTGACCTCAGAAAACAGAATATCGATCATTAGCTAAGACGGACAGCTTTAGTCGCAGCATAGTAGTCAATCATATTGACTGGTAAAGTTTAGCAAATGGTTCTAGTTATGTACATAATGCATCTGAGATCACTCGGGAAAACTTTATATTTGTCTGAAAGTAATTTATGTTAACTTATGAGTGTATCGAATACTGTTTGTCTGAATCTACTATCTCTGAAAATTATTCTTGGTAACAAAGTGAAAATGATTTTATCGTTATATCATCATCATTATCAACATAGGACCAGGCATTACTGCGTAACGGTCCGAGTTGCCACACCTCATATCAGCACATCAAGTAAAAAGGTAGTGAGGTGAAGGATGAAGATAAGTGAATGCAGTCAAAAGAAATATAAAGTATGAGAAGAAAGGAAAGAGGAGTGACAAAATAGTGAGATTCGGTATAGCGTTGTTAAGATGAGGATAATGTGTGTATACATCTGCGCCACTGACTTCGGTTCTGAGCCATATCACCTAGGGTCTCCAACCACTGGTTCCTCTTGTCCCGTGGACCCCAACCACCTAGTCTGCATCGTCCTACATGGCTTAAACCAACAGTCAGAGACTTCATACATTGGTGCCATGTTTTAGTCTGGCCACCTCGGGCCTTTTTCCAGCCTGAACCCACCTCAGCCAACATTGTGTGACGAGGCAATCGGTGACTAGGCATACGTAGTACGTGTCCCAACCATCTCAGTCGATGAAGGTTCACAACCTCGTCGACTGACTTACCTCTTCTCCCTAAAACTCTACACCTAACTTCTGCATTACTCACATGGTGACACCACGGAATACGTCCTATACTACGAAGGCAACGGTGGTCAAATACCTGTAACCTTCTCATGTCTTCCACTTTCAATGGCCATGTTTCACAGCCATACAGTAGAACAGAGCGGACTGCTGTGCAGTACACGCGACCCTTAATAGACAAACGAATATCACGGCGGCGCCATAGGTGGCGCAAATTGGCAAAAGCCAATCGAGCCTTTTGTATCCGTGCAGAAATCTCATCGGCAACTAACCCACCGGGTTGATCCTACTTCCCAGGTAAGTGAAGTGGTCAACACACTCAACCACTTCACTCTCTATTGTTAACCGCGGTACCGCTGAAGACCAGTCCTGGAGCAAAAATTTGCATTTGGGTGGTGAAAATCGCATCCCAAACATTCTCAAATTCCCACTCAAAGTGTTCAGAAGACTCTGCATCTTGTCAGCGTCTTCACCTAACAGGACTATGTCATCTGCATATTCTAGATCTAAGGAAAATTCACCTGTGATCCGGTCAACGTCTTTGTAATTAGGTGACGAGAGGGAAACCTCCATAAGAATATCTATGATAAAATTAAATAAGAATGGGGATAGTGGGCATCCTTGACGGACACCACTTGATGAGTATAGCTCCCTGGACAACTCACCATAGGCTCTAACATGCCCACAAGTGTTCGAGTAGAGAGCTTTCAATAAGGTGATGTACTTACTAGGCACGCCTTTCAGTGACAGACACTGCCATAAGACTTCTCGATCAACGGAGTCAAATGCCGCCTTCAGGTCGAGAAATACAGCTATTGTCGGGCGTCTGTAAGCATGCCTATGTTCCAGGACCTGGCGCAGTGTGAATATTTGGTTGATACATCCATTATTATTATTATTATTATTATTATTATTATTAGTCCCTTGGATTCCTAGTGGAACATAGGGCTTCAGTAGCACGCCTCCAGTGACCCCTGTTCTCTGAGATCTTTTGAACCTGGTTCCACGACAGCCCACAACCTCTCATTTCCTCCTCGCACGACCTCCTCCATGTCACCCTCGGACGTCCAACTCGTCGCTTCCCATGGGGATTCCACTCGAGTGCCTGACGCGTGATGTCCTCCGTCGGCCTTCTCAGTGCATGGCCAATCCATCTCCACTTCCTCCTGCATATTTGCTGCGTGATAGGTTCTTGGTTGGTTCGTTCCCAGAGTTCCTTGTTGCTTATTATTTCTGGCCATCTGATCTTCAGCAGCTAGCGTAGGCAGTTGTTGATGAATGTCTGTAGTTTATTGGAAATACCTTTCGTGACGCGCCAAGTCTCTGAACCATACAAGAGCACTGACTTGACGTTGGTGTTGAAAATCCGTATCTTGTTCCGCATGCTGAGTGCAGAAGATCTCCACACTGGTTTCAGGCTAATGAACGCCTGTCTTGCTTTTCCGATTCTGACTTTGACGTCCTCGTCCGTCCCGCCTGTAGTTGAAACAGTGCTTCCTAGATAAGTGAAGGAGGTTACTTCCTTCAAGTTTCTCCCGTTCTGATGGTGATTGGAGTTTGTTGTTGTTGTTGATGGTGGTGGTGCGGTGTCTTCATCACTTCTGTCTTCTCTATATTCACCTGAAGTCCCGTCTTAGCTGCCTCTTCTATCAACTTGTTAGTTTTTGCCTGCAGATCTTCAAGTTTGTGTGACATAAGGCATAGGTCATCGGCGAAATCCAAGTCTTCTAGGTTCTTTTCCGTCGTCGAGTGTATCCCCCTCTTCTCGCTGCCTACTGTTTGCTGCATGATCCAGTCCACCACAATCAGGAATATCATGGGAGATAGTAGGCAACCTTGTTTCACTCCTGTCTTCACTTCAAAGGCATCACTGAGCTTCCCATTGTGAATTACTTGGCATGTGGCATCTTCATATAGTTGTTGAATGAGGCGGATAAAGGTTTGCGGTACTCCGTAGTATTGAAGCAGTTTCCAAATTACTTCTCGGTCGACGCTGTCAAAGGCCTTCTCAAAGTCGATGAAGTTGAGGTAGAGAGCTGATTGCCATTCTATGCTCTGTTCTATGATGATGCGAAGCGTTGCAATTTGGTCGGCACATGATTTGTACTTCCTGAAGCCTGCCTGTTCCGGTCGCAGTTTTGGATCCAGTGCGTCTTTAAGCCTCTCTAGGATGATGCGGCTTAATATTTTACTTGGGGTGGACAGGAGAGTGATTCCGCGCCAGTTCTTGCAAGCACTGAGGTCTCCCTTCTTCGGCAGTTTGACAAGGTAACCCTTCTTCCAATCGTCAGGTACCTTCTCTTCCTTCCACACCTTCTGCAATAGTGGTGTGAGCATGTCCGCTGTTGTCTCTGCATCTGTTCTCAGTGCTTCTGGCGGTATTCCATCTGGTCCTGCTGCTTTCCCGCATTTCAGTAGCTTTATGGCGTTCAGGACTTCCATTTTCGTTGGGGGATTAATGTTCACTTGTAGTTCAGCGGC